GCAGTGACTAGTATTCGTTACGTGCGAGACAAGCAGACGTTATTTTTGTAAACTTAGATTGTTCCTAAAGAAAACGAACGTCTTTTTCTTGCGCCGCAAGTATATAACGTTACATGTACATGTAATAGGATTAAACAAGTAACAGGATACATGAACATAGGTGAATGTTTGTTTTTAGTTTTTTACCAAAATAAAATGGCTAAATGAAAGGTAAATCCTTTACGGCTACATAATGATGACGACGCAAGTTTTTTTGTCATTTCTTCGCCACCACCTGTTAGACTGCTCAGGTAACAAGTGCCTTGTGTGACTCGGCCTCAGGCTACTAGGAAAACAACTCCGGGTCGCATCGGCGGGCCCGGGCTTCTCAGTAACGCCCATCGGTGCGTGCAAACACCTGTACGTGTTTATTTACCCACATTTACCATATTGTACCACTATCCGTAGAGCCGCCATTCGGAGTAGCACATCAGCTTCGCAGGCAGGACGGTTCGGTAGTTTCCAATCAAAGGACTGTGAAGCTGTGGTGTCACAGATGTAGAAAGACATGTGACGTCACACGTTAAATTTTGTGGGTTCGTGTGAAACACGACTGTTGGAACAAACGTCAGAGAAAACACACTGTGCATTTCCCTGCCAATGTACGTTTATTAGGTTTGTATGGAACAATAAAACGATTGTATAAATCCGTGGCTAGTTAGAGCTAGCAAGCATTTTAAAGCTGAAAGAGAAGGATACAGAACTAAGTTGTATTACATGATATGTGGATCGACAATGCCACCCAAACCACCATCACAAAAGCCTAATAATTAAGTCATATACTTGATGGTTTGGATGCCAGGATTTACAGCGTTATCGCTGACATGCGATAGGACAGAATAGCACCAGACGTTTCAAGTAGCATCAAACACTTTTCGTGGATGTACTAATAGTGCTTTTTGTCTTGAATCCGAGTCTGTCAATGATAATATCTGGAAAACAGTATCATTGGCAGCTACGGTTGTATCAAATTCCCGATTAAAACGCCTAAAGCACGTCAAACGCTCTAAATTTAAACGTCAAAATAAGCCTAAGTTTAACATCTAAAGCTCTGCTTCAACCACATCCGATCAAGGAGGTATTTATCCTCCTTGATCCGGTACAGAATCGCCTGGATATTCTTTTTATGTTCCTTCCACAGCTGTTTCGCCTTTTGGGAGCATGACATATCCGGCACGTAATGGGCAAAGAAATAGGTCAACGATCTGTTTATAATCTGGCAAAGGATCTCAACAAATAGATCCCCGTTGTGCACTAAAAACCTAGAGTGGTAATTACACAACTATAAAGTAAACACGGCATGGCTGTAACAGCCCTAATCTTACAGTAAGGGGATCATTCATGGTATCTGTTGTGGAAATCCGGCGTTATCTAATCCGGAAGGAACGGGTCATCTGTATACAACATGCAATCCTCTTATCCCACGAATGGCCACGATGTATACCTGTCTTTGGAAAAAGGGTCAGCAACAATATAGGAGATCGACCTTAGGCAAATTCCCACCTTCAACGTAAAACTCAACATGTTGATTTATTCATATACGTGTACGTAGGTTAAAAATGTCTGTATCCATGGCGCGAGCCCATGCCGGTATGCCGCAGATTGGTCGATACTTGGCGGGTTTCTCTAGAACGGAAGGTTCCGATCGGATCCACAGTGGATCGGATCCTTGAAAATACTCATGAGACACAAGATCTAACGCCTAAAGCACACTATCACGATGACAACGCCATACAGGTTGCAATCACTATATTAGAGTCCGTAGCAATGTTTTTAAACAATTAAATGTAGTAGTGGTAGCTTCCCTAGTACCCAGCTGTAGGAATGTGGCCAATCCCCAGCCATGACCTTTGTACATAGTTATTGCACTTGTTTTTGTTATTATTTGTTTGTTGTTATTTTTTCCTCACCACCACCACCGGTCACGCTGGGAACGACCACTTCCCTAAGCATTAGACCCCGCGAGGGGTATTGCTTAGTATTGTATAGAACTAGAACTAGAAGTGGTAGTAGTAGTAATGTTAGGGTCCGGTCATCACATACGTCGTCCCAAGGACATTATAATATACATGTATACATAGTCTTTGGTCGTACGATCGCAAACTGTATGCATTCTTGCAAGACTGATAGTCATGCACGTATTCTGAAAAAAAAAAGCTGCCTTGTCACGGAAAAGACTGTCCTCGGTCCTCCTCGGTGCTTGGTTCAGCTACAGCCTGCTTGAAAACCCTGCGACATCAAAATGTTCCCGCACCGTAACGTATAGTCAAAGGTACGAAAACACCTGGGCAAACCCTCCCCAGACTGCTGTTACAGTCTGATGCACAGTTCTGTTTGAAAACAAGTCAGGCACAATGAGAGCGGCTCAGTCAACATTACCCAGCCAAACGGCAAATACTCCGCACTAGAAATAGCTACCCGTTCCCTAGTGCATGTACAGAATGTTGTATGCGATGTACGGTGCATTTTGTACATGTAACTCAAACACTTGTATGTGTCATTGGCTTTAAATTACTAGTAACATCTTCATTGCCTGTATCAAAATAAACACGTTGTCTATCCTCCTCACTCTTTCGTTGGGGCGATATCCATCTTTGTCACAGCGGCTATTTTGCTGTACTAATTCTAGGGTTGTCTGATTTATATTTTACGTAACACAACACCATTTTACCACAGGAAGGAAGGGTAGTACAATGGTTATACGAATATACACCGTTACTTATTACGAATGCCACAAACAGGTTGGTGCCAAAAATGTATCCGACACGCAGATTCTTTTAAATAACCCCTCCCTCTTCCCTTTGGAGGTGGTAGAGGTCAAATGATAACCTTAAGGGCATCATGGAACACAAAAGGTCAAGCAAAAGGTCGAGTGCTGTCTACCAGCGTCTTTGTATGACGTCATGAAGTACCTTTGACCTTCCACCTCCCGCAAAAAAGGACCACGCCCACCTCCGAAAGCGACACTGTATCCAATTAAAATGGGTCTGGACAGCGTTTCAAAAAACAGGCCTGGGCACAAATCTAGTCTACATAGCATATACGGAAGCAAACATCGTGCCGAAATGAACACAAAAAAGGTTGCGTCAACGTAAAACAGAGTAGAAAAACATTTATTAAATCACCACAGGGTCCCAAGGCGCCAAGCTGTAATTTCTCTTGTCCTCACTAATTACGTCGCCGATGCGTTATTCACACACATGTAGACGATTGTGGAGGGATGTTTGTGAATTTTTCAAGTTCTGAGAGCCACAATCGTTTCTGACAACGAAAAACAAATAATAATGTTAACCCCACCCTTTGGCTAACATGAAACTGGCAGGCCGTAGAATGCACCTCGCAAAAAAACAAGCAAATGGCCCAACCACTCGAATGAGTCACGGAAAACTTGTCTGCCCCCCACTGAAACACAGAACGCACTTGACACATAACAGCGACGTATACGCCCACCCACACATACTGTACACACGGGTGAAAAGACGACCTCTTACTACTATATGTTATAAAGTTGTGAATTACAAGCTCTATAGGGCAATTATAACATGTATAAAATGACCCTACACGACCTGACTTGTCTGTCATGGCGTAGCTGGGCACATTTCTGGTTCATCGGTCGACAAAAGAATATACAGGCGGTGACCCCAACTTTACTGACACCACTGAGGTCTTTAGTGAGGCGGAGAAAGCTCCAAAATTTCTCTGAATTTTCAGGAATTCTCATCAGCGCTTATCACATAGCTTATATGGGGTTTTTAGTCAGTTGTTCTGTGTTTATTAAACATTTTGTGTGGTACAGTACTTAGCACGTGACACTAGTCACACCACCACACACCCACATAGCACGGTTCAGGGCCGACAAAAGTTACAGGGAGACGCCCACATCATTAATGCACGCAACAGGAGCCGGAAAATCCGCGATATGCTCTGCTAGAAATCCCTCTCCATGCTGCAATTGTATATGTAAAAGTCTTTGAAACTTTAATGAAAGCCTTCACGCCTTGGTAAAAGGCTGTTATGAAGTGGTGTGGTCATCCTAATCGTCAAAAAGTATTACTAGTCTCCTCCAGGCCTTCCTATGGGGGTACAGATCGTAGAATTCGGTAAAAAATGGGAAGCATAATTGACCTGGGAAGGTTTATCAAAACCTTTCCAACTCTACGGTGGCTAAACTCCCTGGCCAATTATTCTGCCTCTTAGGCCAAGTTTTACTGCTTGTAAATCTGCGCATGATGTTCCATCACTTGAATATACACTGCAGACAACACTGAGGCTTTTAGATGAACGATATCATGGTTACTTTCTAAAGCTTAGACAATCAAACAGATTACCTAGACTACTCTAGAAGTTGAATCAATTTATTTGGTTCCGGTGAGAGTTTGCATTTGGTGTGTAATCCGGGGAACAAATGTAGTTTTTGGAGTGTTTTCAAAACGGCCAGGCATACTGCGGTCAATATATCAATATACCATCGGTTCAAGGCGTATTGCGGCGTTTGAAGAAATCAATTCGAAAGCAAACGCTTGTGCATACATATTAAAAAGGCTCATGATGGTATCCGATATCGGCCAGGAAGACGATCAGTGTTTGTCTGTGTCTTGAACACGTACACGCCCTCTCCTAAACAATATGCCCCAAGCATTAAACATCTAAGAACAGATAACGTAACGTTACACATGTACCGTGCTATATTGCAGAGGCACATACTGATTTCGGATGCGGCACGAAGCTATTTATTGTATCAACAGTCTACAATATGAGCCGTAATAGACTAGATCAGTTGACTTGTGACGGTCATATTGCCCTCCCCCTTTCGTCACGCTTGTCATTTTGGAAAGGTGATTTAGTGCTAGTGTCTGCTCAGGTAAAGTATTACGACCAGACGCCCTCCCACCCTAGTCCCGGTATACGGTTTCATGGTAAACATCTGCGTAGTTTTTAGGTACGTAACACCTAGTACATACCCCTGGACGCATCCACTTGAAGTTGTACCGCTGTAGATTCTCGTGGTTGCTGAAGTAGAGAGACTGGTCCTCTGCTGGGAACTCGGGATCCTCCCACAGCCCGCCCTGGTTCTCCGACTTGATCTCTTCGTAAACCTGGCCCTTGTAGGGCACCGCTTCCTCCGGCGTAGCCATCTTGGTGCGAGGTTTATAGCGTTATACCGCGAGTGTGTGTTTTAGACTACCAAACGCAGGTATAATCTGGCTGGAGAGAGGAATATGGGAGGGTGGGCACACACACACACACACGAGGGCAGGGCGACCTTGTCTGCACGTCCGTCCTGCACTGGCGAACCCGATCGGTGACTTCCGACTGAATGACGCTGCTGACGGGTTAAAGGGTGTGTGGGCAGGGCAGGTACTTGGTATGCAGGGTTGTGTCACACGGGTGGTGTTGTGGGTTATCGTGCTTGTACACTGTACACTGCAGCACTGCCCCGGGCTTTTAGACAAGGTGATTGGGCAGTCGCGCTGTGCACGCAGTTATTATCGGGTCATCAAGTATTCAGACCGGCCCACTAGGGACACCCTGCCGGCGGGACGATACATTACTGATATAAAGAATGTGACGATAACAGCAAATATGGCATCACTGGAAACTTAATTATTTATCTGCCTAGTTCTCTCTTTTAGTAGCATTAAAAATATGTAAGCATTCTATTGGGAAGTCGCTTGGTTGTGTTGCCCCCAGAATTTGACTCAAACCAGCTGGTTTTGATTTTGGAAATGTTTTGTAAGGGCCTTTTAACAATTTAAAGGAGGAACTGGATGTCATTATAGGGAATATAGAAGGTTCCGTATGTCACAAATATACAGCGATGAATTAATCGCGACTACTCGAAACATTGCCATGTTGTTGGGCGTGTGAGTGTTACTGTTGTTTGTCTTCCCGTATCGCTGTCAGTGTATGCTTTTATACTTAAAGGGTCAAAGGTCGTCCATGTCATGTTTTGATTGGGTATGTATGTGAGAGGGCAATGAGGTTCAACGGGAGATGGTCATGTCACAGAATTGTAGAATAATGTTGAAACGTCAGTAATATTACTAGGGTTAGAAAATTGTGGCGGTGACTACGCTATGCAACCGGTGTTGTGTCGCAGTTCAAGATTCAAATGCAGCATGCGAACGACATTATCAGTCCTAGCGGAATTTGTGTGCACTGCAGTGCCTAGTTCGTATAAGACGGGTGTTTTTTTGGCGACGCCTAAGGGGCGAAGCATTAGAAACTGGGAACCACGCGTTTGTAACATTGAGCAGGAAGTAAGAAAGGTATTTTGTATTTTACATTAGATAATGACAAAAACACTGGAAGAACATATCAAATTTGATAGTATTTTATTACAGGTTTGCGTAGCGAAACCTGTTTTATCTCTCTAGTAGATATTTCGTAACAGTAAGACGTAGTCGTAGAAAAGTTGAGTAAGTAACATGGATCAGTTCTCTGTCTGCTGTACATATTTGTTACTGAAAATGTCACGGTTTAGAAAAGTTGCTTTGGTGCAAATCGACGAAAGAGCTACATTTGGCGTTTGTATGTATATGAGAGAGAGAGAGAGAGAGAGAGAGAGAGAGAGAGAGAGAGAGAGAGAGAGAGAGAGAAAGCATAGATTGATAGATACCGTAGATAGATAGATGTTGCTATGTTCATTTTAGCAAAGTAGAGCTGTAAATATTGATAGCAGAATCCAAAAACAGTCGAGGATATCATCTTAAACTGTTCCTATCCTATGATTCATGTCTGATATTATAGGTATCCATACAAAACGAATATAACTAAACTTACGAGATATTAAGTTTATATATCTTAATCAAAGCAACCCAAAGGAGTACATAAAAGATTCATTCATCAGTATATGGTGTACAAGAAGATAATACTTGGTGCGTAATTATAAGTAGTCAGAACGTAACCCCATAAATACATAAAACCTTCATTGACTAGACTACAGTATACTAAGTACAACATCATATACGTTATTATATAATAGCAGTACAGAGTAGGATGAGTACCATAGAAGAGAAACAGAACTTTGAAAATCTTTCAAACTACATACAGCGATACACGGCTGCAATGCCTAAAGTCTGATTGGCAACACGGTAACGTTTGGTTAAACCAAGGACAGCTAGCCTACGTGCCAGGAAGATACTCCGCCATATTGATGATGATGTAAAACCTCCTCCTTCGATCGTCTGTTGCCAAGACAGGTTCTGAATACGCTTCCGTGTACGCCCGTCAGCTTTAAGACAATATATTGTAGACGCCTTCCCTTACATTTGTCTTGAGGTATAAGGTCTTGCTAAGGTCTGACGAAGGAAATCTTCTTTACAGAAACATCCCCAGAAGAATGTGCACCTCCTCCTGAACACGTAAAAAGAAGGAATATATGAAAAATTGATGTTAAACAAGAAAGCCAACAAAACAGATACAACGTCATAGAAAAACTCATTTCTCTCAAAGTCATTTTCGGGAGCAACAATATCACTGTTTCTTGCAGTCAACCTGACTTTTGTCGTAGTGGTATTGATAAAATGGCCATGGAACGCATTATGCAAATGAGCGAGCAGGTTTAAAAACAAGCAATACACACATCTAAGCGTTATCTTTGATATCAGTGATCTTTGTGTGATACGAAGCTATATGAAAGACTCGAAGAAGAAATGGGCGATTTTCTACTTTTGGATGCAAATGCTTACGAAAAAGTCAATGAGAAGTTACCTTTAAAAGAGCGGCTGTCTTAAGTGTAGTTTTATTGGATACTGCATGCACCTGTGTCGAATTCGGTGCGTTAGCGTTGTGATCGGACCTACAAAATTCTTAACAAAATTATTACAGGTATGATGTTTGTTAAGCTCTGAAAAAAATGATCCATTAATCAGTAAAAAAGTGCTGTCCATGCAAATGGTATTTAGCATATGTCCAATTTTGTTAGATGTCATAAGTTTCTTCTGTAATTTTCAGTGCACTTACTGGACGTCCTTTCATTCCAGCGAGAGCCGGAGAATCTGCAACACAAGCAAAAGTTATAAGTTACTAAAAGAAGACACTACTGTTGTTACAAATATTAGAAATAACGCTATATTGGTACTAATACTAGTACTACTACTGCTACACATATTACAATCTTGTGGACTGAGCTGCACTCTGCAAACTTCGAAGGCTTGTGAAATTTGGTTAACAGTTCCTGTACCACCTGTTTTTCAGGCAATGCTGGGTATACAAAGGACGACTAACAAACTTTACACAATATTACGGTATCACATACAATACAGAATGTTCAGGTATTTCGTACCGAAGAAGGCCTTGAGCCTGATGGCTATCCTCCAGAAGCTGGCTGCTGAGATGGTGTTGTCCTGGTCCGCGTAACGCCGGATAACCTTAGCGGCCAGCTGCCCGTCTATCGACACGCCTGTGGGAGGGGCAAACACCTGTTACTTACTGATAATTACACACTTCCGGATGGAAAATTCATTCTCATACAATGAGAAACGCTAGTCTCCACCAGACTCCTTTGTAGGCTGTATACATATATATATAGTAGAGATCGCGGCCTAAATTGTAATTGGTAAAGGGAGTTGACCGGCTATAGAAGGTCCAATTTTACAGGTATAGTACAAACTATATAACTACTACATATTTAGCCTGCAAAAGTGTCTGGTGGAGACAAGAGAAATGCCTGCCTCGCCACCTTCCATGCGCTTTATTTATTAGATGAAGAGTCGTATAATATACAACTAATAGAAATAGTATGAAGTTTTTTGTCCTACCGCAAACTTCCCTGAGCGCCTCTCTCAGCTCGTAGGACTCCAGCTTGCCGTTCCTGTTCGTGTCGCTCTTGTTGAAGGTAGCCTGAAATAAGTTACATGATAAAGAGCATAAACAAAAAGGTTTCAGACCTTCGGGAAGAATTTTGTGTTGCGAAGCCAAATCTGAACTGAACAGCAAAATTGACGTTCAAAGTTTTGGTTAAGTGTCACGTACCATCCAGCCACAGATGTCATTCCAAAGTTCCTTGAACTCGTTGTATTCAATCTTCCCAGAGCCGTCTGCCTGAGTAGAGTTAAGGTTTCAACTCTACTCTTGGTGTTGTAAGTGCAGATCAAAGAAGGTTTCTGCGAATACTCATAAAACTCAAACTCATTAAAATACAAATGCATGTATTATGTATGATGGCGAACGTCACTAGCTGCATGAAAAGTGGGACATACCAATGACGATAAATGCCAAGCAAGTCTCATTAGTAATCAATATTTCATAATCATTACCTAGAAAAGCAATGTGAATAAAACTGATATTCATAATATCATATTCCCTATTTTGTTCATACCATTTAAGTGTAGGGACGGATAAAAGTAAGTACTAATACAACAGAGTAAACTACTATGCCAACTACTGTCTAAAACTACTTTTTATTGTTTCCACTACAAAGGATACGTCGTACATCATGACCATGTCCCTGCAGACGTCTAGTGTGAAGCTGGGGTCTGTGGAAAACAAAATATCATTTTCGTTAAAAAAACTATTAAATTTTCCACACTGCAGTGGCCAACACTAATGACGGTAGGACACCAGTTTTCGTCAAGGAATGCATATGAAGCTACCGCCTCTATGACGTCAATTCAGTGGGTGAAATATAGTAGATAATCTGTGGCATCCACCGTCTCGTTGGTAACGTTAACTGTTTATCAATATCATATATTAGAAACCCACATTGGTTACAGGATTGCGTTTTAAAGCAGCAACAATTGACACATGGTATATTTCTTTTAGAGGAGATTGTGGTATTTTCTACAACCTTTGAAAACTGGAAATACTAACACGGTAGCATCCTCTATTCAAATTACAATTCAAAAGAGGCGGTACAAGTATTTACCCTTGAAGTACACATCTATGACGCTCTTCAGTTCATAAGTATCAACTGCCGGCTCCACCTACAGAAAAAAAGTGTGTATTTTTGTTTACGAAGTTCAAGCTCTAGGAATAATGTCTTCTGCTCATAGATGAGCGTCTAGTTAGATTCAAACAAAACAAAACAAACGATGCGATTGCAATATCATGCACTTGTAACTACATGGGTGCCTATTGCTCCACCCACCTCCGACAAAACGGAGAAATGCAAAATAAGGATGCAAATAGATATGACTCAGATGCAGTCTTATTGGCCATGGTCGAAACGCTGATTGCCATGCTATCATTGGTCGAACTTCTTATTGTGACACAGCACGAAACGTTGGATTTGTACTTGTACATTGGTAGTAAATAAAATTCAAGTCCGGTAATATCATTTGCAACCATTGCTAAGCCATTTTATTTACTTCCATTGTCAAGCCCAGCAATTTTTACAATGTAAATATTACCGGCATTTACAGACATTTACTACCATTGGTAAATCCAACGTTTCGCGCAGTTCGTGATGGACATTCACAATCGGCCCAGTACCTCCTCTTCTCCACTCATGCTTGCGATGACCTCAAACGCCTTCCGGACTCTGTCCTCTTTCTCTCCCACCAGGACTGGAGTGGGCTGTCGTCACAAAACGATACAGAAGTGTTAAACACAGGAAGGAAATGCGTTAGGTTGGTGAATGATTGAATATTCTTCGTCTTTTATTCACAACCACATGTTTGACAAGAGTCGACTTTTCGATGACCGTCTGTCATCTTCATCACAGCACATATGACTGGTTCACTGTCGCACTTATTAGCTTACCAGCTTCAGTGCACAGTAAACCAGTAACACCTAGCTTCTGAGCGCGCGGTGAACCAGAATTTAAGGTAGAAATGGGCTGTTGCCACATTTTGAAGGCCGTATCCTATAGTGTACTATACCCTACCCAGGCACTGGACAAGGCCCATGTATGTTTCGTAGGAGGAAAGTTGGGAGGTAGCTAGAATCGGTGCGACGACAAAGTGAAGCTAGTTTACGTGTTTGCGTGCTTTTGACGAGGTCAGTGCGCCTAGATCTAGACACCTAAAATCAAAATATTATTACACAACAACCGCTTAATGCGTATTACTAGCTGTAAACAGGCACAAGGTGATGATGTTTCAATCACTAGTTAGTAAGCCTCCATCGACTTTTATATGTGCATGACAACGCAACGCTGCTATTAAAATGTCGCTAGCCTCTACCAGGCTTCATAAGCAGCTGGAGTGAGTAGAAATTGGCCAAGAAGTTGGTCCGCTAAAAGGAGTACAGTTCGGGTAAGGCAAACTGTACTCCTTTCGCGAACCAACACCCCTGGCATGATGTCTGTCTATTTTCCCAATTGCTACTCTCTCCAATCGTTTCTGAAGCCTAGTTGTAAAATGTCGCTAGCCAGAACCGAATGGATAAGACACTACAATACGCAAGCGCGAAATGTGGACGAGTCAAAGGTCATTATGCCACCTGTTATTTTTTCCGTACTTTTTGCTGACGAAAATGATATCAGTTATTCAAAATGAAAATATGAAAATAGGGCGTCACGGTTGGTCTGCGCGTTTATAACCAATGACCTTTGACATCGATGACGAATACGACGATGACGACACAGTGGGCACATTGAACGAAGCCGTGTACAGATGGATTGGTTTTTTGCCAGAAGCAACAGTTTGCACCACTTCTGTACCTTTTCTTCCACTGCTTCTTTTTCGTCTTCTCCCCCCTCAACCGGTTCAACCGGCTCAACCGGCTCCTCCGGCTGGGGTCGAGCATCAGGGAAGAAAGAAAGTCAAAACTCAATCGCATTATACCCTGGGTGCCAGACTAGTATCGGGCCGTTAGCCGGGTTCTTTCGGTAGCCAAGAGCAATGCTGAGCCCGAGGGAAGTTATCGCGTAGGTAATTAATTGTAGGGGAGGCCGGTATAGTATTGCGCACTGAAGCCCGCGGAGTTTGGCACTCAGGGTAATCGCATCATGGAGCACAACGCTGGTCGGCTACTAGTTTCCTAGCCTCTACCAGGCTTCGGAAAGCGGCTAGTGTCACCAGACACTAGTGCTGAGTACAGCTACTCTTGCGCACGCGTTGGGATGTAGAAGAGACTAAGAGCTAACGATATATATATAGTTAGTGGCGTGCTGCCTGTGCAGACTGTGAAACTACTACTACTACTACAAGCTTACTAGCGACCCGTGTTCAAAAGCTCCCAGATGTTGCTCTGTAAAACTCTAACAGATAGATAGGTACGTAGGAAGGTATATGTGTGTGGGTAGATGTCAGGGTAGAGACTCCGTTCTGTAGAGATCCCAATCGGATCGGAGTTTCTGTTGACAGAGACTCCAATCGGGATCTCTACTGGTAGAATCGCTTTCTACGGGATCGCATTCTACCGGATCTGAGACTCTAACCTGAAGTATAGATAACTGTTAGATATACTGAGTTGTACAGGTACACATTCGGCCCTAGGCGTACGGACAGATTTCATGAGGAATGTTAGGAATAACCGGTGATTGTCGTACCTTCTTGACTTCCACTGTTTGTTCTCTCCTGATGACCTGTTCAGGTTCAGCATCCCTGAAGAAAAAGGGTGAAACGTATTCAGTGTGTATCACATAAAATGTAAGCCTCCACCAGACTAACTCCGCGGGTTCAAATTAAGTAAAATTCAGCCAAACAGGGAGAAGAATTGGCCAGGTCAGCCAAAATAGAGCTCATTTGCCCGCGCAGTAACCTTCCCACGGACTGACTCAGCTAGCCAATTATTCTTCCCTTTCTGTTATCCAAGAAGGCCTAGTGGAGGCTAATAAAAGGTCTTGAGCCGTTTGTGTAAAATACGTCAGCCGAATCTAACAGAGCATATATCCTTAATTTAAGGAAGCTCTTTGCTATATAAATGATCGTTGTTCTTGATTATTAAAGCTCATGTAATTTTTGGTTGTTGTCACAGCACGCACGCAGCTCAGTTTTTGTTCAACTGTTTGTAACAAGTATCCACAGAGAAAGAACAAACAAACAAACAAACAAACAGAAACATTCGGTACACTTCAAAATATTCTCAATCATGCGACCTGTTTTAGTATTGGTGAGTGAATAAGCAATGGCCACGTCACTAGCATGTAACGTTACAGCTAAGCATCCGTCCAAAGTATTTATTATATCAAAAGTTAGTCGTGTTGTGTGAAGGAGACACAGACAGTGGTGTTCCCTCAGATGTCACTCACGTGTGGTGCTTCTCCTGAAGGATTCGGTCTACGAAGAAGTCGTCCTGGTCTCTTTAACGGAACATGACATGGCGTGGTGGAAACAGACAGTGAGCGAGTGAGCAACGTAAAGTCAAGCTGAGAAAAGCAAGCGAAGCAACCTGGTGTCCAGTCTATCACTTTTTTCGGGCCTGTAGAAGGTCCTCCCCGCCTAGTTCAACTAAGCTCCCGGTAGGAGTTTTGAATGTGGTTAAACTCCTACCGTGCAAAACTTCTACCGGGAGCTTACTACAAGGCGCAAAACGCCTAGGGCATGCTAAGCCTAGCTAGGCGGGTTGAGGGTGGGGCAAGCTACTACCAGCCCTGACGAAAGCCCGCCCAAACCACGATGGACTGGACACCAGGCTACAAGCAAAGAGGTAACATTGAGCTTCTATTCTATTGTAAACATGTCTACTTCCGCTCGGTGGCACGAAATATGTGGGAAGAAATGGACTGCATACAGACGAGACGTTTGCAAAAGTGAATGTGAAGCAGAAGTACAGAGCGTGAAGTGATGAAATGTACAACAATGGTTAAAACTTGAAACAGTATGTAGAGTTGTACCTTACGATTTGATATCCCATTTTGTTTGATTTTTTTTAAACCGTCGATACTTTGTGTAACGTTGATCCTGATTGGTCAACATGATACGAGGGGTGATCCAAAAGTTCTCGGCCTCTCCCAAAAAACGTGATGGCAGAAAGATTTTTCTTACACTATTTTTTAACATAGTCTCCTCTAACTTCAATGCACTTGGTCCAGTGATGTTCCAGCTTTCCTTTCCCTTGTGGAAGAATATTTCGTCTTAAGCCCTTAAAAATGCCTAAACCACATCAATGACGCCATCATCACCATCAAAACGTTGACCACGTAAGTGGAACTTGAGTTTAGGAAACTGGTAGAAGGCTCACGGTGCTAGGTCAGGTGACTAGGAAGAGTGGGGTAAGACTTCAAAGCCAAATTCGTTTGCTGCTGTCACTGACCCCTGTGCCGTGTGGACAGGTGCATTGTCAGCGCGTCAACTCGGAGCTTTTCTCCCCTTTTCTCTGTGATTGTTGCCCTCAAATGCCGCAATTCTGGTGCACAGTATACCCCATTGATGGTTTGACCCTTTTGCAGGTAGTCAATAATGATTACCCCCTCACTGTCCCAGAAAACAGAGGCAAAAACCCTTTCAACGGGTAAAACTCGCTTGGGATGCTGGGAACCGTTCTTCGTCAATTATTTGCTCTGCTGTTTTGATTCGGGGTGAAAGTGGTGAACCCATGTCTCATATTGGGTGACAAATCGTTTGAGTAAGTTGCCCTGATGGACTGAATTCGTTCCTTGAAATGCCCAGCCTGTTTAACGTGTGATGTTCAGACAACATTCTAGGCACCCATCATGCAGACAGGTTGCTCATCCCCAGGATGTCTGACAACACATTGTGAACTGTACCACAAGTCAGGCCAAAGAACCTGCTACATGTTGGACAGTCTCACATCTGTCATTTACTACCATGTTATGGATGGCCTCAACTGGATTGTCCATGGTGCTGATTTGTGGCATCCTGACATATGTTCATCTTTTGTGCTCTCCTTGACGCGCTTAGAACTAGCAACCCAGTTCTTTGTGGTTAAATAAGAAGGGGAGTCATCACCAAGTGACTTGATCATGTCTTTATGGATTTCCCTAAGAGACATAGCTTTTTATCGATACACTTGATCACAGCACACACTTCTGGTGCGGCCATTTTGTGATTTTGCCCTCACCCGCCCCATTTTCACGGGGCATCACGTGCTAATAAATGAATGTAAAAATTTGCATTTTTGTGGGCAGTGATGTAAGACGTCATAGTATACAGTTATACCAAAGAATACGCGTTTGACCTGTATTTTCTAGGTGAGGCCGAGAACTTTTGGATCACCCCTCGTATCTCTCCTTGGTGCTGATTTGTCGGTGCCGTCACTGTCCTTGGTGCTTATTGGCTACTACCTGCATCTGTCAATGACTTTGACGTGGGCTAAAATATATAGAATACTACATGGTGCATTCCGTATCACCCGAGCTACCAGCCTTTCCGCGGGTGATACGGAATTCACCTTGTATTTTATTTGTCATAGTCATACCCGCCGTAGAAAGCACACATTTCAATGCAAAATGTGCCACAATCCAGTATTCGAATTTTCAGAAGCGGTACACTTGGTGCAAGCGGAACGGGTTCGATTTATTCTATGGAACATTTAGAAGCCCGTGTGATAACCGTTAGAACGTCGTGTAATACCGCTAGTTATCACACGGTCCGGAACACCCATATCGAACGTTATCGCGGCCCAGGTAATATGATGATATAAAACCGTTGTACATACTCGGTCGTGCTCGGTTTCTCTGTGTAGATCCTCAGCAAAAACTCGGCCTCCTCGTTGGGCTTGAAGGTTGACGGCATGACGATGTAGTTTCCTGGAGGTAGTTTGACGCGCTTGGTCACCTCCCGCAGGTTGATGTAGGACCCGCTGGTGGCCGCTGGGCGGCGCGTGCACACGTCTCGCTTCTTTAGCTTCTTCTGGTTCGGGGCCTGGAGAGAATAGATGTATTGTATGCAGAACCGTCCTTTATCAAGAATCGTTTTTTAACCAAAACGGTACTTTATCCAGAACCATGCTTTATCTAGAACTAATTAAGTCCAGGCATGGTTTGGGGCCTAGAAAGCCCAGAACCGTTCTTCTATCCAGGACAGTTCTTTATTAATAACCGTGCTCTATCCAGAACCGTCATTTAGCCAGAGCCGTGCTGTATCCGGAACCATGCTCAGTTACGGTTCTGGATAGTCCACGCGTATCCAAAACCATGCCTGGGGGCAAATGTACGTTCTTGGACACGAGAAGACTATCATGAACGAACCATGCCCGATGCTAACCCTGACCCCAACCCATTCAGGCATAGAGCTATGTAGAACGGTCTTGGATACAGACGCGTTGGCATGGTTCGTCATACATTTACTTGCTTTTCGACGTGCGGTTGCGTTTCGTTTAAAAATCGCTAGGTGGCAGCACGCACCGTTCCGTAGATGTAGAAGCCCACTGCCAGGTTGGCCTTCCCGAGATGCTTCTGTTTGCGGCGGTCCTTCTGGATGAGGCTGAAGACCACCGTACACGTGTCGTCATCATCCTCGTCATCCGGGTCCTCCACGCTCACCACGTACTGCGGGTTGCTGCAGAACGTGCTAGCTGAATAGAAGTAACAAAAGATACACTATGAATATCACCAGGGTGCAAAATACGTATTTTCCCCAGTTTGGCCAAAGCTTTGACGCCCATGGCCATCAATTTATGAGGTTGCCGTTAACGCGGTCTGTTTGTTTTAGATGGTAAGCCGTAAGCCAGGCCACCTGGCGCTGTAAGGAGATCGCTCACATGCTGGCCGAGGCGGGGCACAAGTCGTACGCTGGGCGCTTTGAATTAAAAAACGAAACAATCACGAGCGTCTCAAATTAAGTTTGGTACAGAAATAGAATAATAGAAACAGAAACGTATTTTCACTGGGCGTCCTTTCGCGAAGCGAAGATTAATAATGACGTTGATCCTGATTGACCGACATGATGTCTCTCCTTGGTGCTGATTTTACGGTGCAGCCACTGTCCTTGGTGCTGATTGGCTACTACTTGCACTAAGCTCTGTCAGTAACTCATTTTACCACTTCAACGTGATCTAATAATGCTGTACGTACTCTTAAGTAGAATGCAAACAACTACAATTCACTGTAGTCGATGTTACAAGCATTGACGGTGCAGCTAGTGCAAAAAAAATGTGCCTGTTGTATCCACAACCGTGCGCTATCCTGAGCCATGTTCAGGCACGATCCTGAAAAGTCCACGCGTGTCCAGGACCGTGCCTGGGGAAAATCTATGTTCTTGGATACGCAGAACCATGCCTGATTCTAACCTTAACCAATTCAGGCATAGAATTAGATAAGCACGGTTTTTGATACAACAAGGCTGCTAGTATTTCGACACCTACTTCTGTAGTTGGCACACCCTCCGGCCGTCATGCCCCGCTGCCACTTCCCGTGACGCTCGGAGGAGTTCCACTTCTTACACCCGACCAACTCAGGCTCCACCTCGCCCACTGACGGCTCCAGGTGACAGATCTCAAGCGTCTTCCAGATCTCCAGGAAATCTTGGAAGGACATCCTGGAGGAAAAAAAATCAGATGATTATAAAGAAAGTTTCAATTGTCATTTCCAACACAAGAAATTGGAGTTTACCAAGATCTTCGACTGTCTGTACACTCCAATCGCTGCCGAGGAATGAGCAACCCACCGCTTCAGTGATATAACGTTATGCAGATCACATACGTTAGCAGTGGATCAGAGGTTACAGAAAGTCAAGTCTGTGGCGCCCTCCGTCTTTCTTGAGTGATAACAGATTCTCTCATATACAAGAGTGTTGAAGCATCAGTGAGTGCCAAACAAGATGTATGATCTACGTACCAGAATTCACCGTCGTCCCGTTTGACCACACCCAGCTCTTCCTTCCGCTCGTCGGTCACACCTTCCCATTGGGGTGATCTGGAGTAACAAGAACAGACAGGGCGAATATGTGTCAGTAAATTTGATGCTGTAGGATTTTCAAACAGGCTGTGACAGAACCGACCGACAAATGTCTAAGAGACGGTCTTTTCTCTAAGGATATAGCTTTTGTACGACGCATCTGCGACTATCCGAAGAATGCCTTTAGTTTGCTATCGTACGACCATCGTACGACACAAGTGCCCGGGTTCGTACTTACTCGTCGCTCCATGGTCCCTTCCACTCGATCTTTCCCCAGGGGTTCCTAATCCGGACCAGCTCGGTGTCGTTAACCTGGGAAATGAAAGTTTTAGCCTCATAACTACTCAACGTACAAAACAAACATACGTCAATATGATACAAGAAACAAGATAGTAGTAAAGAAGATGTCTGATCTACATACCAGTGGAAGTAAATACTTTCAGGAGCAAATCGATGCCATCGAAGTCTACTAGAACAACTACATGTACACCTATAACAACAACTACTGTTACTACAACTGCTACATGTACGTACGTAGAGTTCCATTACTTACCACGGCGAACCCCGTGACGCTGTAGGCGTGCTGCTGCACCAGACCGTTAGCCTGTACTGCCTCCAGTCCTGCAGTACCGCCCTAAACAGGAAGGAAGAATTATATGGGTGTTTCTAGCAAATTGGATTTTCTCTGGCCGGCTAACTCCCCTGGTATACTATCCTTTATTTCGGCCAGTTTGTACTAGTTTTTTCCAGCGATCCGCGGTGCCTGGTAGAGGCTACAGGCGCAGTGCCTTGTGCCTTCTGCCGATATGCTACCGGGGAAAATTGGTGCGCTGAAAAGCCCACATTTAAACCACGTAGAGTCGTTTTCTTATCGTTTTTGTACCCTTAATCTAAGGGTCAACTATAGCATATGTCATTACTATTTTTGTTTGGTTAGCGCACCATAATAGGTGCCCTGGAATCTCACCTTGATGCCGCTAACGCCCATGAGAGACCCCCTGTCGTGCGCCTTCTTCAGGATCTGGTAGAACCTGGGCGGCACGTTGTTCGGATCCAGCATGAACGTCTCCGTCACGCCGCCGGTGAAATCCACCAAAGCGTCAGAGGTGTGGCCGCCCTCTAGCGCCTCGTATGATCCGTGCACCCTAAGAGTTAGAAACAAATGTTAGAGGCAAGCGTAGCCAAAATTATTGCTTTGATTATTGCCTTAAAAACGTCTTTGTGTGTAACTCAGTTGTATGACCTTTCAACAACACTGTCACGTTCTGCTAACTTTCGTGACTGTAACTCCAAAACCGTGAACGCAGATGATAAGGATAACTTCCATCCATGACCATCATGCAAGACCCCCACTGTTCCTTCCGCTCTCTTGTTATTCGTAGACATACCCGTACGAATTACGTCTTTGTAGTTTTCAACACCTAATTCTGTTCATCTACCGATTCGGCAGTACTATAACAATGTTAGTTTGTATGTTGTTACAACAATACCCATGCTTGGATATTTGAGTTTTGAGAGACCTTTCCACAACCAGTAATGTCTGAAAGAAGCTCTGATGAAGGTGTCTGATAGGCATCGAAACGTAAGTAGGGGAGAGACATTACTGGTTGTGGAAAAGAAAACTCTACCAACCTGAAGAAAAAAACCGTACTCACTTGGCGTACGCCTTCTCCAGCAGGGCGCTCCAGAACTCGTTCTGCTGGTCGGAGTGGAGAGAGAAGAAGGCGGGCCTGCCCTGGACCGGGTCCATGACCATCGGGAGCCGGTCGTCCACCACCACGTCAACCCACTCCCCGTAGCGCCAGAACTTGAAGTGGAATATTCCCGCATAGCTGAAATAAAACAACATCAACATATCATCATCATCTTCGCCGCTGTAGTCATCTGTCGACGATGCAGGCCTCCACCGCTCTCCACTGTCTTCTGTCCTGTGCTGTCATCAACATATGACACACTTCGAAATACTAGGTTGCCCACCAATATTTTAGTTTGCCGTCAACACCGGCTATTTATTTTAGAAGGAAAGACATAAGCTATGCCACCTGTCAAGGTATCGCTCCCATGCAAGATAACTCACCCAATTCTTTGTTCCTCACAAACCTCACAGAGGTAATATCATGAGATTGCGCAGGTGCCTTGTATACATCCATTTCTCAGTGTCGAGGGAACTATTTATATTTCATTAGACTTATTTATACTTACTTTTCCTGGAACCCTTGCCCAGAAGGGACCACTCTCTTAAACAGTCCTGGCAGTGTGGTCAAAGCAGCAGTTGCTGCCAGCATCCAACAGTCACCTACAGGAAAGACTTTGTGATTAAAACGCACCACAGGAAAGCTCTTACTTTCTTCTTATATGATAGCATTTTTACTTAGAATTGTAATACAGGAGACGACATTTTTCTTTAAAACTGAATCACAAATCGTAGAGCTTCTTGAAATAAAATCAGACGTGTTAAACATGTTTTTGACCATCATTGATCATTTTGACACGCGTTCGTGTTCGCGACATTCTGACCTAAACCTATTTAAAGTATGTAGGGTACACATAATCGTGGCAAAGTTGATATGCTAGATACTTAAACGGACACAAACTGAAATGTCATATCTACCAGGAATCACATTCTTCATGTTGCGTGAGGACGGCTTACATATTTCCTCCCCACTGTATCAATATTCACACAACTGAAACGGGATATATGTGAACAGTCTCTTCTGTACGCAACAAAGCAAACAGTTCTATCGACGTTATAAAAATAAACATAAACACAGTACCTACAACTCCCTGCACCACGTCAAACCGACTCACGCCCTCGCTGATGAATAGGGGGTTGTCGCAGATATCCTGCAAGGGCAGAAACGGTGTAACGTTTAGGCCTTCATACGAATCATATACATGTATGTGGAAAAGTTAACTTTTCTCTAACTATAAAAATTGGAATTTTTGTCAATTTTGACCGACTGACTGTCTTCTTTAGCAATCTGACCTAATCGCTCACGATACATGCCTTTAATAAATATATATTAGGCTTTATTAAAGTTAAACCGTTACTAAGAAAATTGGACAAATCGAGCGACTTCTTTAATCAATCAATCAATCGCGCAGGACCTGTGACTTGATCCACCTGTGACATCATCAAAGGGTCAAAGTTCGTTGGAAGTCGATATCGTCCCCCGTTCCGGTTGAGAAAGGCCGGTGCTGCTGTGTTTTAACAAACTCTCCCTCTTTGCTGACGTAAAATGTGGATCGTCGTCAGGTAATGAGCAATTGTGCTAGACTCTCGGTATTTGTGCTGCTGAATCAGCAGTGCTTTCTCCATTATGGGAGAAAAATATAAATCCCTTCAATTTACCCACGTTTCATTCCGATCAAACATGTTATCTACAGAATTATCTAACCATAAAACATTTATGACCGAGTCGACCCCGAGTAACCCACCGCAGGGCAAGGCATGCACACCCGGCCGGACCTCGCGACCATTCTGGCAATCTTTGGTAGAGATAAGAGATAAGACCTGTGTGCTTGGACCTTTACATCCTTATTAAGTAACGCCTGGTGCAGGTCCCAGAGTGGAGGTCAAGTTCTTGCCGTGCTTCAGACGATTTCGAATTTCAAGAGCCCGGAGATTTTTTTGAAAATTTTTGACAGTGATAAAGAATCCTGAGCTCCTATTGGTATAGTTCTGGGAATGTTTTTCCAGGTAGATGTATATGGCCACACGCTTCGGGGAGGAGGCCCAATCAGCCCCCGACAGCGAGGGATTGTCTAACACAGACTACCGCAATGTACATTCGTTCTGAATTGACAAAGAAAGGGGAATAGTAGAAGATAGTCCATACTTAATTTTACGTACGGTAGTTTTTTTATGAAACCTGTGCTGTGCAATGTGAACCAGTCAGGCTTGCCCTGAGGAAAGTGACAGACGGTCACCGAAATGTCGACTGAATAAACCTTTTGGTTGTGTAAAAAGATTCTATTTATTTGGTGATTTACCAACCTGATAAAAGCATTCACGGAGGCAGTGTTTTATGTATCTTAACATCTCACCGGAATGCAATGTTAAGTCTAACATCCAACAAGACGGTTCTGCCGGAAACATATTGTACTGTCATGACCTGCATTAGCCAATCAATAAAGTAATCAACTAATGGGAAAAACTAATTCAATCTGATAAGATCCCCTAAGGATTTTTTGTCTATCTATGATTTGTTGCCAACAATTATGACTAAAGGCTTTCCTGATTATAAGTCCTTTTGCGTCGAATGCCAATTCGTTTTCATTTATTTGTCTTGATTCAAGACTTCAAATGCTATTTTAGGTGATATAGGGTAAGCTTAGCTTTGCAATGTTGCGTTCGAAATACAATGATGATAATTTTGAGAAAACCATCGTAGAAAACAAGATGAGCACAGCAGACGCCATCAGGTAATGACAGATGTCAGCTATCGATGTGGCAGAGGACATAGAGACTAGATTAAAAGTTGCAAACTATAGCGAAAATGGATATGAAATGTCGCAGTGAGCGCAAATTCTGTTATTAATACCTTTATTGCCAAATTAAATTTAATAATCGTGTTATAACTCTGCCTCTTTGTTGCGTCTTTGATCTACAAGTGTGAGCTTTGCAGACTGATATGTTGTCAAAAACGATATATGTATCTCATGTAGGGTTCGCCGTTATGCATTTTGATGATGTCTACTTTGAATTCGACAGATGCTGTATCGCTATGACTTGTTGACTTTCCCGTGTCACAAACATGTGTCTCGGGCACCCTGCGACGTTGAAGATTTGTCGCTGCTGCGATTGCCTGTGTTGTTTCAGTTGTGTGGTATCGAAATAACCCATGAGAACATGGTGCCCACTCACGTAACTTATCATGAAAATAGATAGGCGGCAGATCCCAACAGAAACTCTCAATTGCAAGTTGTCAACAGATACATAGAAACTGATAGGAAACTAGCCGTGCACTGTCAATGTTCGCATATCTAAGACACTAGCTGGCCAAGATCCTCATTGTTCATCAACGGATCATAAGTTATTCTTGTTCTGGACACACGAATGAAGACATCAGAAACGGGTGACACACAGTCACACATTGCCATGTGGAAGGTCGTCTGGTCCGCCGTCGGGGTCAATGTCATAAATGACTCTGATACTCGTGGGAAACAAGTTCAGACCAAGTCCAAAGCGCTGTACTGCGCTAGCTCTTTGAAGCTTTTCGATTTCTTTCACTCATCTAAATTGGTGTTAGATCAATTCCATGGGAATTATAGTTTGTTCGTAGCCTTTAGGAAATATTGAACTTGGTTTTAATTTAATTTGTGAACCGATTCCGATACGTCCTTGATGGGGAACTCTGGAAGTTCTGGAACCCTTCCAGTAAATGTTACACTGTCCAATGTCAGGGTTCAACATAGCAGTCACAAGAAAATGTCTATTTTGGTATGTATACATTTCAATTCAAATAACAGGCCTGATATAATATTCAATTTCATATAACCCTGCAGATACAAGTGTGAAGAAAAGAATGAAGAAAGACGGGTTGCAGTGTGAATGATATGCATCATCATACAAGTGCGCTGCAAAAACTGTGGCTTATGGTGTCTACACATAGACGTACAGACACCTGGCCGCAATAATTATAATGGCTTATACTAGTATATGGAGTTCCAACACATAAAACTTGACCTCCTCCCCGATAGGTAGCTGTTTGACACCAAATTTGCATTGGTTACGCGGTTATATTAGGTGGCAGGGAAAGGTTGAAGCATGAAAGTGCAACATCTCTTCAGCAAATATCTCGGATGTTTCGGTATGGATTACATGTATTCTTATGTTTTATGTGTTTTAATGTTCAGTCAGTTCAGTTCAGTTCTTCCTTATACGAGATGCCACATGAAACGCATACTGTATCTTTGTGCTTTTAACGGCTTGTTATTGTATAGTTGTTTCTTGAGATTTTCAAAATTATGTTTCAAATGAATGTGTTGTTTAATTAGCTATAATTCATACTTTTGATTGTCTTCCACATGCTAATAAAGTTCTTTTGACCTCGATTTTGTATCTTACCCAGCAAGTATTACAGTAGCCGATCTGATGAGCTGTTGGTTACATGGGTTCCTGTTTTGCAGGCACGACGAATAACAAGGTATTAATCTAATCAATTGGCCCAAAATAGCGGTGCTCTCCAAACGTAATTAATTTAGTCCTCTAACAGTCAATCTTTTTGTAAAAGGACATTTCCAAGAACCACTCTTTCCCTGAAAGCTGTTGCATCTTTGGTTATCTAATTTGCCGTTAGATGAAGAAGCTAATGCGAGTAATCAGTGCTGAACAAGGTTATTATCTGACCATCTCTTTGGCAGCTACGTACTCCCAAACGGCCAACAAAACGATGCTAAATTATACCAATGTAGACAGCATGCACATAGGTGGTTAAAAGCACCATGGCCAGTTTCTGAATTATTGAATCTCCTGTCACCCTGCCTGCCAATCTTCCCAAACCCAAGTGCTGTCAACCTACTCCGTACAGACAAACAGATAAACAAACCCACAGATGAGCCATCCCAAAACAATACTTCCATACCAGAAAGTAAAAATGTCTGGCCGTATTTAGGATTAAAATTATAATGTACATTTAATGATGGTGTGTGGCTTTGTCTGTTGTTGGAATTATCAGAAGAAATATAGCGATGTTTATAAATGTTTATATTGACAGCACCGGCATACACGTGCTGTGCTCAGCATGGTAGACCTCTGCCGTTTGTTTTCTTGATAATAATAACTTGCATTGTCAACAACGCGTCAGGCTATCATGTGTCACTAGGCTGATAGATCGAGTTGCATGAAAAAATATTCATTTCTTAATTCACTGAAATGGCAACAATGTAACAATGCAACAATGGTAGGTTTATTTATATTACAAGTTCAAATTGACATAATATCACGTTCTTCACCAACTTTATGAGTGTATAAGTGCCTAGATAGATGCAAAAGTTGAAGGACGATGCCTGTATCCAAGGACATTATATCAAGTGTATGTCTGTAGTGATTTCACAAAGTATCAAGCTCTCCTTTCCGCATACATGCAACGCTTCAAAACAAGCCTTCATGAGAGGTGCTGTATCCAGAACCATGCTTTATCTATGCCCAACCACGGTTCTAGATAGTCCACGCGTATCCAGAATCGTGTCTGGGGCAAATCTACGTTCTTGGATACGTGGAGACCTATTCAGGACCTTGCCTGATATCAACTCTAACCCAGTCAGGCATAGAACTAGACAGGCACGATTCTGGATACGATAGTAGGGCATCACTACCACTGAGCGTGTACTCCGCCCTACAGCCATCCCCTGGTATCATTCAGCACCAACACAATGCTGAGAATGCGGGTAAGATGAACTGATGAGATGGATCATAAGAAGGCCTGGACGTATCGTCTGCCACTGCCGTTCTATTTTAGTTCGCCTTTACGTTGTTGAGCCTCAGGCTGTGTATGAGCCGTCATGTGGCAAGGATGTTTATCTGATGAATGTTCTTTCTGATTGCCCATTTTTAGAGCGACCGCTAGGCTCTCAAGATAATTGCTTCCCCTGAGTATCTTCTATTCAAAGACATTCAGCACAGCAAAAACAATTATGGATGCCCTAATAAGGTGCTAAGTGCAGGGCAGTAGGGCATAATGCTAAAACACGGGGTTAGCGATAACTTGTGGCATCCCATAGTCATAGAAATGGGTACACGTGCTTGTAGTATTTTTGTTTGATTTGCAAGCGTTTCTGTATGGGGAGTGTCTTGTTGTATGGCCTTATACAAAATCATACAGATCAGGTTGGTAAGTTAGTAAATTCCGTTTCAATTGTCATCACCTTCAAAACATCAGTGTAGTAAAGTACATCAATTAAGTGTCATAGATGTCATTTTGGCTTCGTCTTTGGTACTGCTGTACTAGCTCCAATTTGCATCAGAGCCAAATTCGAACCTTCGCGCGGTGTACTTTGACTTTCGACATTACCTATGTGAATATATATTTCTTAGAATTGCCAAGCACTACTAGACAACCGGATCTGCCATACATATTGATCTATCATTATGTATTTTTACACTTTATTCAGCAAATCCCCACATCAGAAGCCAGGGCATGTCTATTGAGCTAATTAGATTTCGTTCATGTATTCATTAATCCGGACGACCTTTTTCGTAAAGGCACGGGTGAGTGGGCGTGACAGCTTCATATGCGCGATGGTATGTTCCACCTAGCAATATTGGATTTAGGAAACCCTCTCTGTACATACATCGTGTAATTGGGCATGCTGAAAAGGTACCATAACTCTACGTACGTACGGAATGATTGAATTATCAATGGGGAGATATTGTGAAACATAAAACATACCTGCGGCCTCATCCATTGGAACTGGTGCCTGCTGAGGTTGGGATGGTGCCGGGTGAAGTACAGAGACGAGTCGTACGCGGGGAAGTCCGGATCCTCGAACAGCACTCCGTTCTGCAGGCACTCGCTCCGCAGGGCCTCGAAATCCTGCTGCTTCCTCATCGGCTGATAGCGTGAACGTGGCATCTTCTTCTGGTAATAGCGACTAGACAGCGCCTGCTCTTCGAATAGAGGATTGCAAGCAAGCAATTCGTGATTGCCTGGAGTAGGTGAAAGCAAACGATAGCCTATGGTGCCCGAAAGATGCAACCTGCTGTGTTTTTATCTACTCTGGTCAAGCCCGTTGGGGAATATCTAGGGATAGGCTACCTCCTAGGCTGCCTCCTGTTGCGAGTACCAACTGAGAGAAGCGTGTTGCTGCCCCCTCCCTCTGTCTCCACGATGATGCCGGGGAGCATGCATCCAATTGGAGGCGACCAATCGACGCAGCTGGCCCGGAAACATCCTGGATCTATGCATATCAGGTTTCCTGTACGCTCGTCTGCGATTGGTTGATGGAGCGGCGCGGGTGTTTCATAGTGGTGAGTATATCGTCCCAAGGATTATTGTACGTGAACCATTTTAGGGTGTGACCTTGATTCGTGGAATGAAAATATTTGGCAGTGATCAGATTGAAGAAGATATGGCTGTTGATTACAATCAAAGAGGAAATTTCAACCACGCAAAAGATAGTACTTCCGATTTTATCTTCACATATTTTGCAACGCAAATTTTGTTTACAGGTATGAGGTACAGTATCCCCATGACTTTCTTTATCGATATATGTAAGGCTACTTAATATCATACATATCTAAGATGGTAGAATACCTTCATCATATAGTTTGATATTATTACGGCAAGAATTACATATTTTCTACTTCTTTTCGCAGTTAAACTGCTGTGCATTGACCTGGTTTATTTTGAAAAGAATACAAATTCTGCCTTCTCAAATGCAATATCCCCGCTGATTTTAGTCAAAGTATGCAGTTCGTATCCGTCACAATTTGCCTGTCAACAGTAAAAACGTATACGTATAACGTTACAATTCTACATTTTGACAAACCACCACTAGCAGACGACTGTAAACTTAAAGATGGAATTCTAAACCAATCAAAGATATAGCGACATTTCTATGTACGAACATGGGCAAAGATCATGTACGGCCGCAACTTGTGCTAGTGACCTAAATATAATCATATAATAAAAACACGTATGTCCCTGGGGCCGAGACCGGCATCCTAGATGTTCCACACGGGGTCGGTAACCCGCGCAGCTGTCTTCATGTCGGCGCCGTGACCTTATTTCACTCTTTCCAACGGGTTATCTGGTACCGTTTGCTAGTCTCGCATTTCTACTGGGAGATATGATATCTCGTATATTTCCACAGGGAGTAATGAGTATTTTTTACTTATCTCCAATCAGATCTTTCGGTAGCCAATTCAGCCTGTAAGCAAGCCAGTATCCACTAGAAAGATAACATTTCAAAGTAAGTGCATAATGTTTACCTTCAAATGGTCTAGTCTAATAAACTACTGCTCTGTTTATTCCTACTCAAATACATTTATATAATATATGGCGACCAGTCCTCCAACTTGCTAAATAATATAATCAAACACCACGGCGTGGCTGCTACAGCATCAGTTACCATGGTGACAGCCGTCTGGTACCGGTCCAGGTCATTGACCTTATTCTACCAGAGAAGAAGAAGAAGAAACAGAGCAAAAATGTTTTCCTTCTGCGAAGTTTAACATAAATGTAAGCAGGACAGTTGGCTGTCAGAAAACGGTACATAGAAAACAGTCACAATCTTCCCCAAGCAACCTCTGCTTGGAGAAATATATTTCTTTGCGACGTCGGTTTGGCGAACTCCCAATTATATCACTGCCATCAAATTATGCAATTGGTTTCATAACTCTCTGAATAATGTGCTAAAAGTCATTTTGTTCACGTTTGTGGTACAATTTCTTTTCGTTCAGTCATTTTAATGCTTTTCAGTCCAGGACGGTGAAGTACTACTTGGTAGAAAAGCACGTAATGTTGCAAAAAGTAGGCCATCTTCTACGTTTATCAATTCACTAAGGCTATAAAGCCATCCACATAATCAAGTCCATGTGGCTAACGTCAATACCAAAGCAGGTAAGTAGAAACAGACGCAATCAACTCACTTTTGTAAGTGCCCGTACAAGCGTGACCCAATTTAGCTGAGTTATGGATCTGAGCATTGGAAATTCTATTAACAACATTTTCTTGTCTAAACATTCTGTCATGCATGTAGCTGCAATCTAGCCTGGGTACCATCCCCAGTAGTATATTCGCAAACTCTATAACTGGAAGATCTGTGTTTACAAAACAACAAACATCACTTGAATAATGCAGGTGCGCCATTGGCCGTCGCCTCTGAGGCTCAGCCAATCAAATGAAGCCCCGCTGCTCGGGCTAGCTCATTACGTGACGTCATGACCAATCGTTTTATATGTGTTCAAGTCCAGACCCAGTTATAGAGTTTGCGAATATACTACTGGGGATGGTACCCAGGCTAGCTGCAATCCATACAAATGGCACATTTTGACACCAACAACTGTTTAGATGTAACATTTATGTGAAGTTAAACTGAAAGTAATGTAATATAGTGTGACTACTAAAGATTTATTGACTTAAATTCAGCTAAATTATCATAGGACCATGCGACATTGACCAATCAGAAGTCACCATTTCATATGCCGTAATGTCATAGAATAACAAGTGGGGAAAATCATTATTCGTAAGTGGTCCTTTGTTGCGACATGAAACTGGACTGGGTTGTTAATTGTCCCACTTGAACAGTGTAATGACATTATATATAGTTAAATGAGCCTTAAATGGACAGTGAGGAAATAGGGCATGGGCATAAAGATGCTTTACTTGGATATTTCTTTACATTCATCCCCATTTCGAATCCTACATGTATGCCCTGTCAGCTACTTTGAAATATTCCAATATCAGAATTGTATGATGAAAAAGATATGATGATGAGTAATGGGATCTTAGAAATCACCTAATCAACTAATCATTTAGACGGATAAAGCTAATCTTGTATGACGCCCTTTGCTGATGAAAAGATGATCAAATATAGGTTTAGGGAAAGTTTAAAAAAATGTTGAGCAAGCCCATATTTTGGAAAAAAAATAATGCAGCATGTTCCAGAAAGAAAAACAAGCAATAAACAACATTGGTAAACAAGAATGGTTCACCATAAACATATAGTGTTTATTTGCTCCATGTACAGATGCAGTACAGTGGAATGTAATAGACCTGCCAGCAGGTCTGGACATCTCTCTTACTAACTACATTAGTATTGACAGGTCCTGTTGTATTGCTGACTGGCTACTGGAATTCAGAACGATCTGGCCATGCAAGGTTTTCATGTGTCTCTGTGCTGTAACATTCATACTTTTGTACAACACAGTCACAAGATCGAATACAGGTTGTGACCATACAACACTATATGACTAAGGAATACAAACACTACCAATTTCTCTTTAAAAACATACCCTGATATTAGTGATATACATCAGTTGCTTTAAGAGACAATAATATTCTTCATATCATATTTTCTTTTCAGAAAGTACATGTAATTATATTGCATACTTATTACAAAATATAAGTACATGTTCAACCATATGTATGTTCTCCCCAAGTAATGCACAATCATGCATGATTCACATGACCCTATTGCATTTATGAACCAATAGTTTTCTTCTGGTCAATGATTGAATTATGTATTATACTGATTTCCCATGTGAATTTGTACCAAATTATATGATGAAAAACATCCCTACAGTCAACAACCCACTTAGGTGTCAAAGGGTTAAGATATACCATATAAACTGGGTATACAAGCAAATCAATCTGCATGAAAATCTAGCGATTTTTATACAAAGTAAAAAAAAAAAGGTAGTTCAAATCTACTACCATTTAATTAAATCATTCACTACATACATGAAAATCTGTCGACTATCATCTAGGTGCATATGGACAGTGTTTGTCCTATGCCCCCAAAGCTTTAACTGATAGATGCACCAGTGGTCAATTAATCCTGGTTGCACCTGTAGGCCCTGATGACATCTCTGATAGATGTGTGGCACACCAGGCACATTTCCTGCTACTCCTAAGCCCCCAAAGATTTAACTTTTTGATGCACCACCAGTGCTTAATCCTGGTTGCACCTGTAGGCCCTGATGACATCTCTGATAGGTGAACAGCAACCCCAGGACTTTTTTCTACTACTCCTATGCCCCCAAAGCTTTAACTGATTGATGCACTAGTGCTCAATCCTGGTTGCACCTGTATGCCCTGATGACATCTCTGATCGGTGCGCGGCACACGGGACAGTTGTGCCCCTGAGCCTTCAGGTTGAGGCCGCAGCCGTTGCAGACGCACATGTGTCCACACTGGTATAGCACCGAGTCCACAGTCTGGTCCAGGCAGATCAGGCAGTGGCCCTCCCGCACCGCTCGAGTCACAGGCACGTCCTGCGTGTTGGAACCTGAAGCAAAGAGATTTTAGACATTTATTTATTTATCAAGATTTTAGAATATTTATGGAAGGATTTGCATAACAGGTGACTATCACCTTTCCAAGAGACCTGGGTGTAGGGTAAATGTCAGAAAAGGTGCAGTTGCCATTGATGCTCTACATCCTATGATTTACTTTAAATGTATGTCATACAGAATCTTATAATCAAGGTCTAATTTATGAGAGGGTCCCAATAATAACACACTAGACCACATGTAAAATTCAGGAGGACCAGGAACATATACCTACTATGCCAAATTCTATTCCTCTAGAAATCCAAGGGCCAATGTACAGATTACCTATAAATTACATTGTATAACAGCGTTGCTTATTAATTACGCAGAATTAAACTACAAGATTACAAGATTATACTTTTATGGAAAATGGCATGCAGGCCCTAGTGCTTACTTCAACAGTGGGAGTAAAACTTAATTAGTGCCTGATAAATCTGACCTGTCCGTGCAGCCATGGTGGTTTGGGTAGCAAAAGAAGAGTGACACATGTCAAGTAAAAAGTAAGTGCCTGATAAACCTGACCTGTGTGTGCGGCCATGGCAGCGGCGACCTCCTGCCTGATGGCCCTCTGCAGGTCCAGCTGCAGGTCGAAGCTGACCCTGACCATGTTCTTCAGCTCCTCCACCTGCGCCTGCAGTGATGCAAGCTCCGGACCCTGCAGCTGGGGGAGGGAACATTACAGTTGGAATACGTTGGTGAAGGTTAGACATCCAGGTAATAAGATACGCCAAAAAACAGTTACTCAAGCAACTGTTATGATTTTGGAAACGGTCAGATGTTTCAGGTAGCATCCACTACGTTTCGTCAGTGACGCTATCGGCTTGCAGGAGAAAGGCAATACATACAGTTGTAATAAATACATACATACATACATACATGTAATGGTCACATAAGAGGCAAGATTGCCTATGAGATATGCTTAAAAACCTTCTTAAATTACATTGTAGTTAAAAAGTTTTAAAAAATGCAAACTTATTTACAATAAAATGATATCTTATGCACTTCAGCTAGTGTCCAGAGTTTATTAAGGGAGCATCCACAATTTATACCTCCTTGGTTTATAAAAGCAAACTTAATATTCCCAAGTAAAGCCAGTGACCCTTTGTATGAGCTTTATCCTCAAATGCCAAACCTGAGTGCAGGTAAAAGAACCCAACACACTTAATGAGAAGAGTAGGGGTAATCCGGTGTGCCTAGATATAAATGCAAGCTATAGCAAAGCTGCACTGCACTATAAGCTACTAGAAAAAAGCCTAAATATGCTCCACCTCAGTTGCAGATGACTGCTTTACCTACAGTACCGGGTAACCATTGCTGAATAAAGTGAGAACTTTACCTGGTTCCTTGGTGCCCCTATCCCATCAGCCTCTGCGCCCTGAGGCTGTGTGTTGATGCCGAGGTGGCTGAAGTCGTTCCTGCGGTGAGGACGGGAGCGGGGGATGCTCTGTATGGACTCCTGCACCCTCTCTCCATCAGTACCGCTCTCGTTAACCCTTCGCTGTGGGAAGAGATGAATGGGGACATAACGTTAATTCATTCAAGATTGTGGCACGTAATTTCATGAAAATAAAGATCACAATATCTAAATCAGTTGTCTTGACTGTATTTCCATCATATGCAAAACATCTAGGCATGTCACTGCATATTTTTAACTAATGACTTTATAAGAAGAATACAATACATAAATGGGTTTTGCTCTGATGATGCTGAGAAAAAATGGTGCATTCAGATTCAAGTTTGTGTACCAAGCTGTAAATGTTTTACGTTACAAATCTGAACGTTGTTAGTGAAACAGTGTGATATTTCCTTACCGCCACCATGAGCTCGAGAACGCCGCGGAAGCCGCCGTCCAGCGAGGAGCTGACCAGCTGGCGCTGCAGCAGCTCGCTGATGTCGTTCACGATGTTTTCCCGCTGAGCCTGCTCGATGTCATACAGCGCACGCCGGCTGGCTCTGGGGGAGGAACATAGGTGTTGGATTAAGTAAGTTTTAAACAATGCGTTCTTAAATTTTACTGCTAGAATTAAAGCAGTACATGTGCTCTGTGAATAAAGTCAAAGTCAATGCCTGTGTAACAAATGCAATGATGACAGCAGTGTAACAGCATAATACTTACTGTTGCTGCTGCTGTCGTTGCAATAGTGTTGGCTGCCTTTGTTGCAGCCAAGGTTGCTGCCTATGACCTTGCTGTGCCTGCTGCTGTTGCCATGGGCCCTGCTGTTGTTGCCATGGGCCCTGCTGCTGCTGTTGCCATGGGCCCTGTTGCCATGGACCCTGTTGCCAAGGGCCCTGCTGCTGTTGTTGCCATGGGCCTTGTTGCCAAGGGCCCTGCTGCTGTTGTTGCCATGGGCCTTGTGGTTGTGGGCCCTGTTGCCATGGGCCCTGCTGTTGCCATGGGCCCTGCTGTCCCAGCTGCCCAGGTGCCTGCTGTTGCCATGGCTGTGCGTGCTGTGCCGCCTGGTAAGAGGGAGGTGGTGGGAGTGCTCCGGGGCCCATCTGTGGGGGTCCATAATCTGACTGGGGAGGAGGAGGAGGGACCTGCCACAGCCAGGAGTGGAGCGACACGTCCGAGGTGCTGCCTGACGTGAAGCTGGAGACGCTCCCCGTCTCATCAAAGTCAGTGGCAGTGGTGGTGGAGCTCGCATCGTTGAAGTCTGTAGATGCAAAATACACAACACTGTCAGGTATACAGAGTACAAATACAAAATCGTCATCATATCTTGTCCAGAAGACAAGGTATGAAAAGTATGAATTCGAAGTGCTGCTGCCGTAACAAGAAAAGTTGCCAAGAGGTCTTGTTTCTTAGATAGGTCAAAACCTGACCACATAACAAATTTCATGATTACAATCCAACCAATTTGTCTGGTGCAGGTAATTTTGTTGCATTTTTGTTTACTACAAGTATGCAGAAAAAAGAAGTTCAAGCCCTGACATATACATCATAAGAAATGCTACTAAAAAGATATAGTGACGGTAATGATCACATTCAGTATTATATAGCTTTTCCTTACAAGTTTTCCTTACCTTGAGGGGGAGGTGGTGGAGGGAGGCGAGGTGGAGGGACAGACCGATGGAACCTGGACAGTCCTCCCCGCACAACGTTCTCCAACTCGCGCCTGAACAGGTCACTCTGCAGCACGTTACTCACGCGGTGCTGGTCAAACAGTCCTCGCACCTGTCCAATGGGAAGGAAGAATGTAATTACCTTCGCCAAGAAGGTTATGTTTTCAGAGGCGTTCGTGTATGTGTGTGTGTGTGTGTGTCTGTGTCTGTCTGTCTGTCTGTCTGTAAACACGATAACTTGAGAAGGCTTAAATGGACTGACTTGATATTTGGTAGGTGGGTAGGTCGTAATGAGACCTCAAAATGATTAGATTTTGGGCCACCTGGCGGCTTGTCATGGTACTGCAGCAGAACTTCCGGTTTTGATATCTCAAGATCCAGACATGCTAGGGTAACCAAATTTAGGTGGTAGATAGCTCTTGTGCTGGGGATGAAGTGACATGAGTTTGAGCCCCCTAGTTGCTTGCTCTAGAACTGCAGGGGGGTTTAAAGGACAAATGTTTAAAAGAGGATAACTCAAGAACCGATTGATGGATCATCGTGATTTTTGGTATGTAGGTAGCTTAAGTGATGCTTGACATAATGATATTACAATTATGCAAATATTGATGTAATTTGCATAATTAATGAGGAAATTCTATAAATCAGCTGCATTCCATGATAGGAAGTTCAAGCTTATAACATATGTTATTAAGAACGAGAGAAACACAGGCAAATATCGATTATGCAAATGAAGACTTAATTTGCATAATTAATGAGAAAATGTTATAATTGCATAGTGGTAACTGCCTGAAATTTCATACTTGGGGTGTTTGAAAGTTAAGTGAAGGTGAACATAATTAAACATAACTTATTCAAATAAGGACCACATTTGCATAATTTATGAGGAAATGCTATAATGGCATTCTTTGTTAAGATAAGAATGTCTTTTGGTGTAGAATATGATCAACAGACTGATATAATTTATGCAATCAAGGATCCTATTTGCATAATCAGGGTGATTAGTATATTTCTTATTCATAAAGGCTAACATCATTTGGCGAAGGTATGAGATCGTGGAACTCTAGTTGAATATCTATTAGTTCTTTTATTACCAACCACTTTGTTGGCTGGAAGTCCTATTATGAGGAGAGATGCACATTGAGGACATTGAGTTCTTTATTCACAATCATTTCTTTACAAAAGCCAACATTTTGATGACCATCTGTCATCTTCTTGATGACCATCTGTCATCTTCATCAGGGCATTAATGACAGAGGGTCATGTGGGCTCTTGTAAACAAGTAAACAAAGAAAGTTTAATTTTTTTATGTGTGTCTCTCCTCAAAAATAGTACTTCCAGCCTTATGTCTTGTTCAAGAGGACGTCCCTAACTTAAGCTAGGTACTCATTTTCATCTGAGTCAATCAAATAAGTTAACAGGTGTAAAGCGGCTTTCCAAACGGAACACAATTTGGGGCCTGCCAAGGGATTTGAACATAGAACCTTCTGTTTTTACCATTGTATATGTATGTCTAATCTTAGGACATTCTGAAGCTCCTTGCCCCTAAGCTAAGTAAGTGTATGCTATTCACAATTAAGATAACAATAGACACAATGTACAACTGATTATCCTGCCCTGAGCCAAGATGACAGCAGGATGATGTAATGGCCAAGAATAGCAACTGACTAGTCGAAGACTATTTCCATAAAAGGTAAACATCGGTGTGTATCTACTGCAAATTAGTTTATTTTCACTATTAGCAGGTAATTTCCAATATTACCAGCAGAAAAAAAAAGGATTGTATGTGCTAACCTCTATGCCAAAAAGCATTTACTCAAGCAGCTGGATATGATTTTGGAAATGATTTTTGACCATTTCCAAAATATCCCAGTTGCTTGAGCTACTGCTTTTTGGCGTATCTTATTGCTTTGCCGACGTACTCACCTCTAGTCTAACTGCTTCTGGGCGTCTCTCCTCAGTCCTCCGTTGGCTGCTGGTTGGTCTGTTCTCATCGTTTTCCTCTCCCAGTTCAGCTGAGTCTGCGCCAATTTGGCCACGGAAGAAGCTGTCCAGCTTCTCGCAGATACCTTGCCCGGACACGGGACGTTCGCCGTGAGAAATACGACGAAGTTCAGAGAACCTCTCCCTGTGATTGAGATTTGCATGTTATATTACATTACAGATGATGCTTCTCCTAGAGTGAAAAATGTACACAACTAAAAGATTAACATCATAATATGCAAATTATAAATTTACCTGGATGACCACCAAACCCAACAGTATATCTCCTTGATTTAGTTTGACAGTTTGAGTTTACAACTTGTTGCATCCATAACACTTGATTAACGCCTATTCTTATGCCACATTTCAATTAAATTTTTATTCAATTTTTATAAATTCACAAATTATTTCAACCCCTCCCCACACTGGCAAGCTTTGAAGAGTTGAAGAGAGAATTTTTGCCGTTTTATACCGGTGTACGGTGTCGCTATGTCTAGATTGTTGCACTGGAGGAAAGTCCCTCAAAAAACTTTCCTTTCCTAAAATCATCATGCCTTTGTCTTACCTCTGCTGCCGAAGGAAAAACGAATCGACGCTCCCCTCGCCTTCTCCCTTCCCCAGACCGTCTCCGGGGAGAGGGGTTGGTTCCTCGAGCGACTCGGAGGAAGAGCTTCTGTCCCTTGCCGTTGCCATCGTGTACGCCCCTTAATGTTTACCTGCACGGTCTCTGCAAGCCGCTACTTTTATACCAGCGGTATGACTCACCTTCTGTTTTGGGAGAGCTTACCTGTCCATGGGGTCAAATCTCTGGGCTGCGATTGGTCAGGAAGGTTTACTTTTTCCCGCCACGGGAATTTGCACAAGGCGGGGTCAAAATATCGCGTTCTGATTGGCTACAAACGACGTCACCTATTCCTGGAAAGAGATGAGTCACGGGGCTGTGATTAGTCAGTTACTGTATCACGTGATACAGAGCAGACGACAGACAGGATTTCCGATTTCCCGCCATCTTTAAAACTTCAGTCTTTGGACTCTGGATTTACAGACGAGGACACGGAGAAATTTGAAGCTTTTTCGTTGTACTTTGAATCTTTTTGCTCAGTATTCCCTTCTGGATCGCTCAACATGAGTCTGAACGTTTTATTTGAGCAGATTCTGCACTCGGAACAGCGAGCTCAAGAACAAAGGAGCCTTTTGAACGACGGTATGAAAAAATTAAAAAAAGCTCGTCAGAAAATACCTCGGCCAAAGCTGATTTTTTTTTCCGGACTCAAAGTTACCGTCTTCTCAGAAGTCAGCCACGATTCCTATTAACACCGGTTTTGTCATTTTCAGTCAAAAGCGAGATTGCGAAGTGCCAAGAGAAAGTCCTTGAGGCCAGAGATGAGCAGAACACCTTACAGGGCAAACTTGTGGTCAAGGTCAGTCTCAAACGTCTGCTAAACTTGAAGTTGACGTAAGTTCGTGTCTTATAGCATCCTAACTTAGTATTATGTGAGGTAACATGTATTGATAAAGTACCAATATGTACGTAGCCTGGGTGCCAGGTTGTTGCCAGGACCAGTATTTTGGCTAGTTCTTCAGCTCCAGGGCCCACAGTTTAAGACCCTCAGTTAGACCCTGAGCAACTCAGCTCTATTAAACTGGGGGCCAACTCAGCTCTATGTACTCGCCCTCGGAACAGTCTGGCATCCAGGCTAACTTGTATGAGACCAAGACTCATCTTGGAACCTTTGATATATAAACATGCAGTTACAGCAGCTTGCAGAAGAAGAGCTGCAGCTCAAGTGGTTGGAAACCCGAGAAGCAATCCTGAAGGAGCAGAGACAGAAACTTCTGAAGGAGAATGAGGAACGCGAAAAGCAATTGGTACATGTAATGTTGACATTTGACAAACTTTTTAAAGATCAAGTTGTATTTGAAGCCAAAACTTTTTGTATAACCATTTTTTTTTCTTAAAAATTTTGATCCTGTAAGGTGTGTCATGGCTAAGTAAATATTTCATCAGTGATAGCTGATAAATCTTCAAAATGAATTTACCTTGGCATATATAGGCCAGTTGTGATGAAAAAACTCCTGCAATAACATTGCCACATCTTGAATTTGATTTTATCTAAGATTGTTACTACAACACAGTACAAGGAAAACATAGGCATATTTATAATACCTGAATGCTTCAATCTCTTTGTGCCCAACACTCCCAAATGCCTGACATGTCTTGTATTTTGTTTCCAGCAAGAAGTGAGGACAGAAGAAGTGAAGGAGAGAGAAAGGTTCTTGTCTGAGTTGAAGGAATTTGGTCTGGCCTATGACTTAAGTGGGGATGGACATGCCTACAGGGAAAAGTCTGCCAAGGAAGAACATCAGAAATTGAAAATGGAGGAACAGCAACTAGAAAATGGTACCATATCACATTATTCTCTGAGCAACGCAAGAATTTTTGAGAATAAAAAAAGAATTTTTGAGAATAAGAAAAGTTACTGTCGTCTTTTGAGGTTGGGATGCTACTTTAAACTCCCACCAATACCATACCAATCTATTTGATGATTTTTTTTCTTCAGAGCTGTCTTCTTACACTGAGCACAAGAGAAAGATTGAAGAAGTGGAGAGAGAAAAGAAAAAAGCTGAAGAAGAGGTTGCATCACTCAGGCAAAAGCAGAGTCGTAAGTTGTATTAAAGACAGTTAAATTGTGTCAATGAACATAATTGGCATATATCATACCTTTTATACAAGTCCAGCCAGTGTTATTTACCATCCTAACATCTACTCAGAGATTGTCCCATGATGTCTGTATATATGAACAATGTCTATTTCAGGCCTCGCTCAAGTACTGAAGGAACACCACAACAGAACAGCTGATCTAGAACTGAACAAGGAAGAACTATCCCAGGTACCAGACATGGACCCAGAGTTCTTAAGGTAGGGCATATGGTACAAAGGTAACAGGGAAGACAGACTTAAATGGTCTTAAATCAACCTTTTAACGTCTATGCTGAATGAAACAAAATCGATTCAGAGTTCGACTATAAGGGCTTGGCAACAGATGTTAGCATCATAATTTCTTGTCAATACATTTTTAGCACATTTGAATTGAATAAAACCTGTAAATTTGTAGAAAAGTTTTAAGTGTTTATCGTTCTGTAGACTGAAGGAGGAACTTCAGGTGTGTAAAGATGACAGCATGGAAGCAGTGTGCAGCGCCCTCCGACAGGAGCTAAGAAAACTGCAGCAACTGAAGCTCAAGAAGGAGCAGGAGAGAAGAGAGCATGAAAAGGTTGTAGTTTCCATTTTTTTAGAAATAGTGATTAGGTTTTATCAGATGAAAAAAAAATGGCAAGATGGTCTTGTGGTTAAGCTTGTTGACTCAGTATCTGAAAGCCCTGGGTTTGATCATGAGTACCTAGCTTTGGTTAGGAATGTCCTCTTGGATGGGACATAAAGCTGTAGGGTCCTGTGTTTTTGAAGAGAGCTTTAACATGTTGAATTATGAAACAGATGAAAAAGTTACAAGGAAAGAGACCATGGCTAATCAGTACAAATGCACTTGTTAATTGTTTTCACATTATCATCAAACCAAGTCTTTCTTGCTAGGCAATGCTAGCAGAAGCAACTATAATAGACAACACTGGAGACGACATGCCAGCTCCCTCAACTTGGGACAATGCTGGAAGCCCAGACAGTGACTGGGCTATGGAAGCTGACATGCAGACATCTAAATCCTCCAACAAGAGTAAGGCACTTCTGTTACTACTGTGTCAGAAATTCTGCCTGACATATAGCAAAATTTGCTGATCGTGTTCATCTCATAGTATTAAATTGACAATGACGAGACACATTAATCAGATGTGAATTCTGGGATGGATAAACATCATGTACATGTAGATGTGTTTTTTTTTATAGGATTGTAATGTGATGTGCATGTCAAGCTTGTGCTTTTTTCTTGCTATTGGGGCAGTAGCATCAAGAAATGCACCCAAGAGAAGACCACAGATGACAACAAAACAGAAGCCAAACCTGGGAAAGCTGACAAGAAACATGAAAGAGCTGAACGCCACTGAGGTGACTTACTGAGTTCCTATCCTTCTACGCCCTTACCCATCCATGTGCTATCAACCTACTCTAGCTCAAAGTTCACCTGTATCTTACCTTTTGGCCTGTCATTCTGCCTGTCAATCTTCCTTCTACCCAAGTGATAACAACCCACTCTGTCCAGACAGACACACATACCTACAGCTCTGCTGCCCCAAATAATGCACCCTTCTTGCATAGAAGATACACTAACATTAAACCTATACAGCAGGCCAACGTACCTCTTGTGTCAGACCGTTTGACCTCATGTCATTCTGTCAATCTTCTCCCACCCACGTGCTGTAAACCTACTGTCTGGACAACAGACACACAAACCCTCAGCTCAGCCACCCAAAACAATACTTCCATGCACTCCTCTTGCACAGAAGAACTGCACTAACAGCAAATCTTTACAGCAGGCCAGTGTACCTCCACTGAGGACTCAGCCTCGCAGGTCTACCCTTGGCCAGACCGCTAGCATTCTCAAGGGACAGAAAAGTGACGAGCCAGAGAGACAAGGACCGGTAACAAGAAAGCCAGGGTTGCTCAGGTGAAATGTCATGCATTAACACATCATCTGTGCACTCAGTCTGTGAGCCAGTCTTTATGGATACAAGTCTTTAGTTCTTTCCAAAATATCAAAAAGTAAAATTTTTTTTTGTATGCACCTTTTAGCTTGTTAAGCAATGAGGTACCTAGTGCACTGACTGCTATTTAAAAAGTTACATGAAAATGCTAAGTTCAGTGGCAACATACTACATGTTGGATAAATATGTATCATAATGCTTGAATGGTCCTCTTAAAGTAATTGGTTTCTCCTTTAATTTCTCCCTAGATTGCCAACAGCAGCAGCAAAAAGAGTCCGCTTTCGCTGAAGGAAAGAGCAGTCATTGTAATTATCAACCTACAAGTCATTGATCTTACATGTATGTGGATTGGAATAAGAAGAAACAAAGCTAAAAATAATTGCTGATGGTACAGTATGTAAAAATGGAGGTGAGTGCACATATTGAACCAGACAAGAAAGTAAGATATCTCAGTCTGAATATATTGCATTTGTTTTCCCAATACAGAAATTTACAGCTCAAATAACAAAGTATGAAATACACACATTTTAGGTTTTATCCTTTCTTTAGAAGCACTGAGTTCCAGAATACATTTGTTACATTTGATATTCTCTCTTACTTTATTAAAGCTTATAGTTTCAACATTTATTAAAAATACCTTTACATCCCTTCACAGAGTATCTATTATCTATTATATAATAATAACATTCCTTTGCTGTGATCCACAATTTGATTGTAGCTCAAATCACAGTACTGTATTACTGTTACATATAAAACAGTGAGATAAAATTTAAAAATGATTTTTGTGCTATCTGTATGAACAGCAGTGGATTTCTGTGACGTGAACAATACACACATAGTAGCATGGCAACAAATTATTGCCTATCTACATGTACATGTACAACAGGAATCCTCCAGTTAATTTTCTTTTCTTTTTTTAAAGTTTCATGCTTTAATTCATTATTACATTCCAAACTTGTGATACAAAATGTCATAATGTCTCTTGTATGTTGTTACTATCTTGTTAGTTTATTGCAAAAATGGCATACAATACTGGTACAGGATTACTTTTATTCTAAGAAATTAGTAGTAGTTGTTTACACATCTATGATGTACATATGCCAGTATCAATGGTTTGCATATCAAATATATTGGGATTAGACAGTGCCACCCATTTTGACCATATAATAGATTCAAGGCGTGGTTATCAGAATATTCTTTAAAATATTCCTTTTTGGTCCATTCAAATAACTATATTTAATATTACACTTTTCCACTTTTGAGTAGAGCTTTAGTGTACTGAAATGCCAAAAATAGAAATCTTCTTGGATAAGACGAATTACATGTTTATGTTGATGTTAACTGCTAGTTTGGTCCCAGTTGATATGTCTATTAGTTTCTAATCAAATTATTATTCATCCTTGATTATCATAAGCAGCTTATCAAAGAGTCTTGTTAAATTATCTAATGATGGGGCTAAGTGTTCTAGCAAGCCTGAAATTTTTTTCCGTTATCTTAATCTAAGCCAGCAGTACCAGAGGGCCCAAGGCTAGGGACCCTCTCAAATGCTATTTCCTGCAGTTTGAGGGACAAATTTGGCTGGTAGATTAATCCTAAGCTTAGACATATCTTTTTGTATCTTGACATGCCTATTTTTGTCCATCAAAGATGACAGATTGGGCACAGTGAGAGACTGTGTAGTAGTTACTCTGTGGGCACTTCATCATAAATATGCCTTTCTGACGTCACACCAGGGGAATACGGCCCTTCTAGTACCGTGTAAACTGGCCCCTCCGGGTCCTTGAACGACGTTCCAGTTATTGCGTTTGCCAGACAATCATAAGTCTCTTCTGGTTCCTCCTCCTGGTAAGAGGGAACAGAACTGTACAGGACTCCATACTCCCCTGTTGCCTCAGTGACGACAGGCTTCTTCTTGTTCCCTTCAGGGCTGAAATCCAGGCTATCGTACGAGCCGTCATCTTCAGACTGCATCTTGTTAAACTTTGATATCAGTCCCGATATCTCTTTGGGCGGCTCTTCGTAGTCCGCGACCGGTTTCCTGGCTTTGGGGGCGTGACGGGGTACGGGAGGGGGTGGTGCAGCGGGCCTTGTAATCATTGCTGTGTCCTCGTAAACCCCATCGTCGTCCTCGAAGCCCGGCGGCCGGTGGGAGTGCATCTCCGTCGGTTCTTTGTAGTCCTCGCTGTCTTCATCGACAGCCGGCGGCTGGTCGTAAATGTGCTCTGTCTTCTTCTTCGCCCTCGGGGCGACCGGCGGCAGCGGTTTGGGCTTGCTCGGTACGGCAGGCACGTGGTAGTCCTCAGTCTGGGGGTCGAAGGTAGCCGAAGCGAGCTCTTTTTCCTTCACGGAGCGTCCCTGCTGCTTCCAGGCCTGCATCCGCATTTCTGTCTCCGAGTACTGTGGTTCCTCCCGGCTAACACTAGTAACAGCTAGTTAGAAAGTAGAGCAGAAAAAACAGTTATTTATTGTTCTTTTATTAGTTTATTAGCTGTGGAGCTCAGAATTACATATAGTCAGCACCTAGTATGAACACCTTGGATGTACCAACAGTAAAACCTAATACCAGTGATTAAAACCTTACAAATACTCCGTTAATGCTACTTCAGGGTACCTACATTGCTAACTTAATAAGTTCAAGAACCTCAGACTGTTCTGAAGTACAGAGACACTACACAAAAGTACACATACACGTACCTGCTTTCACATCGTCCACTTCTGCATAGTAGTCGCCTAGTGGCTCGTACAGATCTGACTCTGGTACCGGCTGGGCCACTCTTGGTCTCACTGCTGCAACTGGAGCTGTCCAGAGATTTCAGTTGGCAGAATTTAATGAACTTGTTAAGAGGATATAAAGATTTAGCTTGCTGTGTTTGATCGACAACGACAGGGCAATCTACCTGAAAATTGAAATGCATACATAAATCTACATTTTAGTTTCCTCTCATGAGTATACGATCACACATACTCAATGGCAAGTCAAATCAAAGAGCCCAAGAGAAGAAAAATTTTAGAGGATTGGATAGAATTATGTACTAGTACCTGGTTTGTTGACTTGTTGATAGCCTGTTAAGCTTTCTGCCCCCTCGCTTATTGGTCTGGGTGCTATGTAGAGATTTGGTGGATGGGTAAAAATTGGCTTAAATTTTAAAATATATAATTTCAAATCACAAGTTGCAATTAAGAGTGGCAATGCTGCAGATTATCCAAATTAAGATCAGATTAAGCAGACTAACCTACCTACCGCTCCACCGCATATCAGCTACTGCTGAGGCGGGCCATCAATTAATGAGGCAATATCAACATTGAAGCAAGTATGGACTACAGTCCAAGTGCTGAAGTTCAAACTGCCAGCACTATTGATGTATGTAACACTAGCATGTTACATTTATCTGCTGAGTTACATACTTGTATATATCCTCCACTTTGAGAAACAGTGTGTTCGAGAGATCTCTAGTGCAGCAACCCAGGCATGCACAGTTAAGATGTGCAGGGGTGCATTATATGGGCAGATGTTGCATAGGAGATCTGATTTTAAGAACCCAAATTTTCAGGATGGAGGATATTTGCCCTAGCAGAATTGTTGGTTATGACGTTAAGTTATTTTGTAACCTACGCGGAGGTTTCGGTGGCCTGTTCGGCATGTCCTGTGGCCCGGCTGACTGGGGCCTGCTGTAGTTTCTTGGAGGCAACGTCGGGTCTCTGCCAAGAGTTTCTCCAGAATCTTTTCTCATCTGACTGGGAGCCTGTGGGTCATTACGGCAAGGACAACATTATATGGTCATTTATATAATGAGAATTAAACTGTTCTCTAAATCAAGAGAAATGACTCACCATAATGTTTGACCGAATCATTCGGTCTTCATCAGCTTTTGAGTGATTCAGTCGAAAATTCTGGTGAGTCAATTTCCTTGAGTTGGAGAACATACAGTAACTGTTTAATTCTCATTATGTATTTTACCAACTCAGATGAAATTTCATGCTAGTATATCTTTGTTTATTTTCAGACTCAACTCCATAAAAATTTTCAGAAATGCTTTATAGTTTTATTATTTGTTTGTACATGTATTACAGTCTTCTTCATTTAAAATGACCCTCTACTCCTAACACATGACCCTACAGAAATAATTATAATAGTGTTCATGTTGCCTACCTGTGATATGTCCATCGCAATGGATGCCCTTCCCTTGACGAAAGCGTCCACGTTGTTGAAGATACTGTTGCCCTCCGAGGTGGCAAACTCAAACTTCCCCTCCCCACTCGCACACTTCCTACCTGCTTCCAGGGAGAACTGAGTCTTGTCTCTGCCATATCTACGATTAGAAGAAAATAAATCTGGTAGTGCTTAACCTGCACCACTTAGATTTTGGAAGTATGGATCATGCTAAAACCGTTCAGAACCATTGCCATTTACTAGTATTTCTTTTATACTTTATTGGTGGTAATCCAAGTTATGGACCAGTGCAGGTAAACATCAGAAATACCTGCACTATCCTGCATATGCAGGTTGTATTTTAAGCCCTGAACTATGCAGCTCCAGATGTCTTACATTATTAATTACTGAGAGAGTGAAAGATGTTAGTTTGCTTGAGGAATGAATCCACTCTTCAATAAATGGTATAAGTAATCTACTGTGTTATTACACAGAATGACGTCCAGAATTCTAGCCATATAATTGTTAGATAATTATTATTTAACACAAGTCACACAATTCAGCCTCAATGGGTGCAAAGTGATGGCATTGTGTATTGTATTATTGTGCTGTTATGGTATTGTGTTTGAATAAACCAATGATAAAATGTTGTATACCTGCGCAGGTATTTGTATGGCCAGCTGTAGAGTTCCTGGTTGGTGCGTCTGTCCTGCAGAGTCAGACAGGTGGGGTTCACCTGTAACAGGTACGGCCCGTCCAGCTCACAGCGCTGCGCCGCCTCCGTCAGACGCACTACCACCTGGTACGACAGACCTGACAACAACAAACACATTTATGTTACTTTAGTGAGTTTGCAAACCCCAGACACACAACCACCTAGTGGTACAACAGGCTTTACAAGAACAAACACATTTAAAAGTTATCTTGCCAATCAACGATCTACACTCAGCACAGAAAGTTTGCAAACTCCAGATGCACAACGACTTGGTATGACAAACTGTCTAACAACAAGGACATTTAGATTTAAATGTTAACTTGTCAATCAACGGTCTACACTAAATACTGAAAGTTTGCAAACCACAACTGGAAAGACTACTAAAAGTAAAGAGCAGAAGACACAGCCAGGGACCATGCTACATAGAGGTTCATTGTACCTCATTGAGAGGAGCAAGCGTGGTAAACATGTCAGCGGAATGTACAGCGCCTGTGCAAAACCCATAAAGTATTGTGCAAAAGCACTTTGGCAGAAAATCCTGTATTCGCATATTTAAGGATGACAAATGAAGGCAGGGTAGGCAGGCTTGAGAAGTTTTTACTTTCTTGTGCAGCGTAGATGACGTTGTCTGCCATGCCGCTGTACTCCGGAGCTGTGGCTCCTTCTGGGGGCTCCGTGGCCCTGTACGGCGGAGGCTGTGGCGGGGGGATCTGTGGGGGGCTGTATGGGGGAGGAGCCGCCACGCTGCCATCAAGAACAGTGGGAGAGTTCCCTCCAAAAACCGCCTTGCACAGCTTCAGGTACCAGTTGTTGAGCTCCTTTTCCGTCTCGGCGGCGAAGGAGAGCGTCTTGTCCGGGAAAACGATGTCAATGACATTATCCTGGGACTTGTGGTCGGCGCTCGGTGTGATGGCCACACAGTCCTTGAGCGGGATGACCTTTGCCCCCTTCTGACCCTTCTTGGCCTGGTCCTTGCTCTCGAACTGCAGCAGTCGGACCACGCCACTGCCGCTAGTGGGGTACAGCAGGAAGTAACGCTTGCTCCAGGTTTTCTGGAAAACATTACACATGGCAGAATTAATTTCTTTGAATCATGAGTTAAGTTTATACTATCTAGACCAATAGCCTATTTTGTAAAGACTGTTAGTAATGTCCACAATGAAAGACTCAGTCAAAGATGCAATGGTTCACATGCAACAGTTACTGCATGTATAACTGTTACAGTTATGATTGTACCAAGATGAAAGCTCCTTGATTGTACCAAACAAACAAAATCATTTCCTCAATATGTCAAAAAGTTGCAATTAATTGTAAGGAAAAGACTAATAAAGTGATTTTCTTTGTAAATGAAGACCAAAATTTGGGGGAAGAATCAGTTTATGGCATTCGAAAAATAATAATGTATACCAAGAGTATTTTTTTCTTATGGTTGTGTATATGTATGTATCCTCTAGCAAATACAGTATTGCCAGGTGGTATTTTGGCTCTTCCTTAACTTAAGCCATTGGTTTATTTGCATAAGAAAGGGCACATGATCCTTAGGGCAACTTCCTGTTCCTTCTGACATGTCATCTTGTCACAAGACTTCTTCTGACAAGCATTTCAGGAATGATTGTTATGAAATAACTTCCTGCTCGTGTTGTGAATAATTAACCCTTGGCCTACTTAGTGTGGCTGTCTTTGCACTAAATTTGTGTAGGTTATGTCTTATGAGAAGTGCTCTAGCCATTGAGCCATCCTGAATTTTTTTCTGTCATCTCAATTTTGTTTGAGGCAACATCTGAAAATGCTGTCACAACCAGATACATGTATTTTAAATTTGTTGTAACTTTTGGACAATCTGACATTCAACTACAATTTGTCAATAATAAAAAATTTCAAAATGATGACTTTGTTGAATTTGACTTCTTGAGCTATCAATGACATTTTACAAATGATCTACAGACAATGCATGACATTGAATTAGAGGGGGCTGCCTTAAAGCCTATTATTAACGGTGAATTTAAAAAAAATGTTACACCCCTAAAACAGGCATGCAGATCCTCCCACGTCTGGCTTTCAGACATGCAAAACTGTCACCACACTCAAGTCACGCTCCAGGAGGCCTAACCACTTCCTTAAGTTCTAAAGCTTTGCCAGAGTCAGACTTTGAACTTTGACCAAGCAAAAACAGGGATGACATGTTAACGTTAAGTTAAACAAGCTGAACGACTTTTCAACAGTGACATACAAATGCAAAAGGAAGTGCATTGTGAGTCCATTATTAATAATAATTCTTTACAAAACTGTCCCCATCATAAACTAACATTTTGACTGAGAATGTGTAGATTTACGGCTGAGGAACACAGTTGTCAACAGCTTAGTGTTTGTTGGAGGCCGCTAGCTTACATACTTAGTTATATATACATGACCGAATCCATCAACTCAAGGCAATAAACAAAGCATTAGCTAGAATGTACTTAATACAGGAACTGCAATTGCAATAAAGACTTACTTGAGGGCATGACTTTTGACACAATAGATTTGTTTTTGAATATTAAAGTTGTTCAGTGTGTAAAAAAAGTGTTAACGTATACTATTTTTGAGTTTGTTTAGCTACAAATGGCCAGCCAACACTGGAACAGCAACAATTATTTACTGTCTACTTTCTGTTTACTTTGGAAAAGCATGCAATGCACACACAGCAGTGTGCACAGTGGCTTGAAATTAACCTTTATTAGTGCCATTTCTCAGAAGGCATCTTCTTGTATCTCAGTTGAATTTACCACAGCACCATGTAAATAGACTGATCCAATACTATAGCCTTGTCCTCCTCCGTCAAAACATACATAGAGGTGCAAAATGAAAACATAAAAATGCCAATAATTGACCAACATGCAGCCACTCTCTCATTGGTCAATCCTCTAAATAGGCTTCCCTGATTGCCAAAAATGTTATCATTGGTGGAACTGCTTTATATTGGGATTCAGGATTTGTCTATTGGACCAATCATATGTTAATAATACTTGTAGACAAAGTTGATGATGCCAGCATTTAAGTCTATATACCATGTTCACATATATAAAGGCCCTTGGTTTTTTGCAGCAAGACCTTTGCCCATGCAGCCGTGACTGGAAGATTGACATAGTAAACAACAATATACTCATGATGTTTACACACGTTGAAAGTCCCAACCTTTATTTTTGCCATGTCAATACAGTACAATTGTATATAACGTTAGACCTCATGGTTCAAATAGAGAACACAAAGAGTTGGTCTTCGTGGAGGAGATATCATGTCATGGGGAAATGGATGCCAAATGTCAAATTCTTTCTACATCACAGAATCACATTTTCAACTTGTCTCGAATACATTTCGCGAATGCAATTGTAAAAGAATGTATGTACAACCTTAGAACAGTGTTTTGTACAAATGTGTATTGAATATTCACCTTGAAAATTATTACTCATTTTCCCATGAACATGTAATAAAGCTTGCGTTTTTAGCTACGTCACTATTATTTGCATTAAAAGTCTAAAAGAGCCAAGAAACAGCACAAGATAATTTCAATGCAAAGTTGAGGTTTAAAATGAGGTTGAGGTTTAAAATCTGATTTTCTAACCCCATGCTTTTAGAGCTACTAGTACCATTACGGGATTACGAACAAACACCGCCCTGAAATAACGACATTCGAAGTGATCATGAATGAACGCAATTAAAGTGAACATGTCGATCGGTAACTGGTAGTCCCAGGTACAAGTCCACACCCGGAAGTAACCAAAACCACAAAACTCAACCAGCTAAAAATGCACAAACTAAAGGTTCAAACTCACTTTTAAGGCTTTCTGTGTAGGCACTGAGAGATGCCCTCCCATCATGGGACCCTCCATGGCTGGAAATCCGAGATTTTACACGATTTTTTCACGACAAAAACTGGAGGAAATGATTCATACTAGCTAAAACCAGTGGTCTGAAACTTTCAACAACTCTGGTCCACCCGGAATGTTCCAAACTGCAAAACTGAGGGGGTCCAGAGTTATTCTGATGCATATCATAAACATTAAGAAGTATATTGTATCAAATAATGTATGAAATATTTATAACTTTTCATGTAATATCTATCAAAATATATTTGTAAACTTCCAGAATTTTTTAGATTTATAAATTTGATAAACTTCACTCCCACTTGTTGATACTTTGACCGTCCCGAGGCCGTGTTGCATTGTGGGATAGAGGTCACGGGTCAAATCTTACGTCGCGTCGATGTTTGGTTTGTTTTTACGTCATTTTGACGTCTTCTTTGTCAATTAAGTACATAATCTGTGACGTTTTAGAGTTTTCAGATCTGCTAGAAACATCGTAAGTCAAAATGAGCTCAGATGGAAAGAGAAAAGACAGAGAAAGAGACGAAGACAAGTATTCGAAGGTAAGATGTAGAAATATCTATGGGGGAGGGGGGCGATGCACAGAGAAATTTATTTCGATTTATTTTTCCCCAATTCATAAAATATGCTATATCCCAGAAAAAAAGACGTCACTGTGGCAGTTCAGCCGCTTCATTCAACTGCTAAGTTAAAACTCCTTAGCATTGTTATAGGCAATGGCATAGATATTCGCTTGATATTCAATACTGCTCAAGAACTTGGCATACCTTTTAATAGCAAGGCGTGTAGAATAATTTTGATTTCTAAATCTCCATGCTGCAAATTATTTTATGCAAGAAGGCGTACTGACTCTATTTCAAACTTCTTGCTTGATGTCAGTGTTACAAATTGTTGTGCAATAAAAGTTGATTTGACTCCAAGGCCGTCCAAGCTTTTCCAAAGGACAGTTTTTGAAAACACAGTTCCCTCCCATCTGTAATCCCCAGAGACAGAGACGTAAGAGCAGCAGTGACAGTGGGTCTGATGATGATGACTATGTGCCGTATATCCCGGTCAAGGAGAGGAGAAAACAACAGGTAACGTACAACATTCTGTACAGTCATCTGTTCTTTAACGACACTGCTTAGACTTAGTGCATAGAGAATTGACTACTTGTAGGCACTGAGGCAGCGGCACTGAGCAGGTAGGCATGACAGATATAGAAGAGAATTGTTTAGGAAAGAAACTGTTGTTGTATAAGGGCTTTGAAATCAGAATCTGAATGGTGCAATGATGCTCTATTTTGCCATAGGAGGAATAAAATTTTGTGTGTAAGGGCCATTTGAATAATGAAAAAAAAATTTTGTGTTTTTATTGCCTGATAGTTTCTAGCTTGTGACAATCTTCTAATGTTTTAACTTAGAGTCCTCCATTGTGTAGTGTACAGTTACTATAGCCCAAGCAGTGACTCTAGAGGCTCCCTGCAGTTTGGGCCAGGCTTCTTCTCACTCATGATTATCTGTTAAAATACTATCCAGATGGAGAGGGTACAGAAGTACATCCAGAGCAGGACTACACTGAAGGGGCAGGAGGAGGAGAAGGAAGAGGAAAATGAGGAGGTAGAAGAAGTTACGGCTGGACCCAAGTCCAACGTCAGTCTGCTGGACCAACATAGTGAACTCAAGAAGAAGGCAGAAGGTAGAGACAAAGATATCTGGTGTATTAAAATTTAAGGTGTCTATTTATTTATCTCTTCATTTTGGCTGAAGATACAGCCAAAGCTGCCCAACTAGAATAGGGCTGATTAAATAGATAAATGGGCAAATGTGGAATACTGCACCTTGGTCACGGGAACCCACAATGTATATACTACATGCATGGAGTCCCTGTGAGTAAAACAGAGATGGAAAAAGACCTCGGAGTACATGTCCACCAATCCATGAAGCCTGCCCAGCAAGTGACCAAGGCTGTGAAGAAAGCCAATCAGATTCTGGGTATAATCAAAAGAAACATAAGTAACAAAAGTATCAACATTATCACTCGTCTGTACAAACAACTTGTCAGACCACAATTAGAATACTGCATCCAAGTTTGGTCGCCGTGGCTACAGAAAGACATCGATCTCATAGAGGCAGTCCAAAGAAGGGCCAGTAGGATGATACCTGAACTGCAAGAACTGCCCTACACACAACGACTCAAGAAAATGGGACTAACAAGCCTCGCAATCAGAAGATTCCGGGGTGACATGTTGGAAGTATTCAAAATTGTAAAGGGACTAGAGGGTATTGACAAGGACATACTTTTTCAACCGCTTGACACCCCCTACAATACAAGAGGCCACAGTTTCAGACTAAAAATACCTAAAACAAGACTTGACATCCGGAAAAAGTCATTTGCAGTACGAACAATCTCTGCATGGAATCAACTACCCCAAGAAGTTGTGCAGCAAACCAGTGTGAACGGGTTCAAGAGTAGCATAGACCTACACATCAAGACCGTACTAGACGGAGGAGCGACCAGAGGCTACCCGCCATCAAGCTCCTGACTGCGGAGATAAGACGATATCTCTGCAGTTCAGGTAAATTCAGGTAAATTCAGGTAAATAAATATGAGACAGGGGTTCGCTAGGCCTGGGTGATTTGTAGTGGATCACCAAAGGGCTGTTGAAGAGTCGTTTTCTTTAGTTAATCTCATAAATGTTCATCTATAGCTTTTTACACATCACACATAGCTGGCTTGCTAAGCATATCATACATGTAATGTGTGTGTAGTTGTATAGAACTAGAATTAAGGAAGGTGTGAAGAGGCCATTTGCATTAACATGTACATGTACCTTTCTGCCATGTTCTGTAGCCAAGAAAGAGACAGCTGTGGACAAGCAACTTGCAGAGGAGGAGAAGATTTTGGAAAGTGTGGCTCAGGCACAGGGTGGGTATTATATACATGTACTAGTACTGTACACCTGGGCACAGGTCTGTCTTTGTTTAAGTCTAATACTGTGTAGCTGTGGAAATCATAGCAAAAGCTAAAGATAAAAAATATGCAATAGTTTTAAATGATACCTTTGATTTCCATTGAAATTTGTAGAATCCTGTACAAAAGTCAAAAGCAGTTTTCATTTAATTTAATTCAGTGAGTTTAAGAAGAAGGAAAAAACAGCAATGATACGAATCATTACATAGTGTGGTCCTTTGTGATTTTAATTTGTGGTGAGACTCATATGTGTACTAGTATGTGGCACATTTTACAACAAGCTGACACATGTTTTGTTTGACTTACAGTTCTTGCCTCTGTGAAGGAAATTGCCAAGGGTATTACTTATGAAGCTTCCATGAAGACTAGGTAAGGATAATGTTACATTTAGCAGAATATCACGATGTCTTCTGTAATGCCTTATGTTATATTCCAAGTTGGCTCAGCCCAGACATGTTGTAATGTGAGAGATTACAGTCATTTTAGACAGTGATGTAAAACTGATGGCCCTGTGTACATGTATGACTTTTAAGGGAGCCTCAAGCAGCAAACCTCTGCACATAAAAGAACATAAAAGAACACATTTATCAAGATGAGTATGTGTGCTTGGCTATAAAACACTAGCTGCGGAGAGGCGCATTGTGCTGTTAGCTGCATAAAAAAGCATCCTGCTTCACTTCAGTTTAGAATGAATTCTTTTTCTCTCTAGTTGGACCCCACCTCGACACATCCTACAGATGCCGGAGAGCCGCCATGAGAGAGTGCGGAAAAAACTGCACATCCTGGTGGAGGGGGACGACATCCCACCTCCCATCAAGTCATTTAAGGTATGGGCTTGTCAGAAGTAGTTTTCAAGAATATCAGTTGTTTGTGAGAATTATCAAATGATTCCATAGAATTTTTTCACAAGAGTTTGCAGCTAAGCAATGAAAAGTATGTGAAGTCATTTAATTTGATATGATGTGACATTCATGAGAATATGATAACAGAGTATATTATGATAAAAGAAAGGAAAAAAGGAATCTCGGTCCTGTTTTAGCCCACTGTTCAAATCAGAGAAGAAAGACACTATGTATAGTATTTACAGGTTCATTTTTTTTAAAACCGAATTTAACATCATTTTTCCCCAGCCGGGGGTTAGACGTGCTTGCACCAAGTGCAAGTCTTTTTTTGAAGCAAGATTTTTACGGCTTGATGCTAGCTCTTCCTAATGCCAACCCAAACCCTAGTAGGGCCCAGGATCTCTCTAACTGACTATGTCTCTATACTGTGTACATTCCTTTTTTTAATTTTGCTGGAAGTACAATAAATCATAAAATACCGGAAAGAAAAAAATGGTCTCAATCAATAAATATTATTTGTCAGGGAATGTTATCCGCTTTGGACGTAGACGTGTACGACGGAGTATTTCTCCATTCGTACATATAAGTTGTGAACAAGTTCGTTTTTCTACATTGTGAGTCTTCTGTCAAGAATTTTCGCGGCGTACTTTGACATTTAGCTCCGGCCATGAGCGTTTTCTTTTCCAACTTCTTGTTCTATGCTACTACTGTATATGTATTACCAGGGCCGGAGGCCAGAAATACTGGCCCTACTCGGGCCTCGCCAGTGGCCTGCCCTGCTGAAATACAGTAACTTCTGGTTTGTTGACATTAGCCGGGATCACGGCAGGGGATGTCACTCAACCATGTCCACCAGGGATCCCCGGCCGCCCGGCTCTGGAGCCAATTAGTACACTCGCGATTTCAAACTTCAGCGGTTGAAACACTATGGACAGAGTATATGTGCATGTTTTTCCATATTCTGCCCATGATACTAATAACTTTCGATGTTTATGTGGTCACTAATACTTCACACGCCTCCATGACAAAAACGGAGCGAAACAAGCCTCTCAGTAACCATTTATAGGCGATAATACAGGAGCTGTACTGAACACTGTTGTCAGACCAGTTTAAAAAACCCGCACTGGGCTCTCAGCCAATGAGAGAGGCCCTTTTATCTTATAGTTTCGGCCGCACTTTAAGTGCCTTTCCCAAGGGCACAACGTCTGGGTGCAAGTCCGGACATGTCTGGGTCCAACCCTGGGGATTGAACCTGGGTCTCCTTGCTTGACAGTCGGACGCTCTATCCACTACACCACACGGACGCCACAACAATTCACTGTTCATTGTACTGGGGAAGTACTAGTATTCCTAGCTCTTTTCGACAAATACACATGTACAATGGATAGTGGACCACAGCTTAACGTCCTGTCCTGAGGACTGTGATCCTTTCCGGGAATCAAACTCCTAACCTTTTGGTCCAGAGGCAGGGTCACTAGCCACTGGACTGCACACATTTGAATATAACGACAATAAATGGATTGTTGTTTGTTTTTCATGCAGGAGATGAAGTTTCCCAGGGGGGTCATCCATGCCCTGAAGAAGCGGGGAATCCACCACCCCACCCCTATCCAGATCCAGGGCCTGCCTGCCATGTGAGTAGGAATACACTTGAACACACGAGGAAAATGTTCTCAACCAATTGGTTAGACTTTCAAAATCTACCTAGTTGCTTGAGTAACATTTTCCTTGTGACAGTGTGTATCTCATTACCTAGATGTCTAACCTTCATCAAAGTAGTTTGCACAGAATCTGATGTAGAAGAAAACAATCTTTGGAGGAATTTCTGACGTCTTGTTCTCAGTGATTCATGTTCATTTTTACCCCCCCTCCCCCACAGTCTGTCAGGCCGCGACATGATCGGCATTGCCTTCACAGGTTCTGGGAAGACTCTGGTGTTCTGTCTGCCCATGATCATGTTCAGTCTGGAGCAGGAGAAACGTCTGCCCTTCACCAAGAACGAGGGACCCTACAGCCTCATCATCTGTCCTTCTGTAAGACTTCCCTTCCTTTTTACTGAAATTTTAGCTAAGGTTTAAAGGTAGTCCCATGGCCTTTTTTAGGCCATATAGGGCACTGTGTCAAGGGCATACTATTAGAAGGTGGAGACCATCCCTTTACCACCTCCCCAGCTGAAGTCATGTACCCATTTTACACCTCACTGGAGGTTAAAAAAGTCATGCAAAGTGCCTGTCCCTTTTCCATTTCATGAATTTGTTTCTTAACTAAGACTTTTTGAAGTAAATTTTGTCTATGTTCTGTTCCAGAGAGAGCTTGCCAGACAGACCCACCAATTCATCACACATGTGGGGAAGTATCTGGAAGCTGATGGTAAGCACATACATTTAACATTAAATAACAGAATAATGGAAAATGGAATTATCAGAGCACAGAAGTTGTCTTTTGTTAAACAAGTGGTTGTGAATAAAGAATTTGCTATTCAATCATCCACCAACTTCATCTCATTGTATCCTGTAGGAATGCCTGGCATGAGGACAATGTTGTGTATCGGTGGAGAATCTGCCAAGGACCAGTTTGAGCAGTCAAAAAGGTCAGAAACATGACGTTGTTATTTGTACTGCACCCATATGTTTGTTTGTATGCATGCTTGTAAAAGACCTTACAAAAGCCATTGTACTTTTGTTGTGTCAATAAAGTCTGTTATTGCTATTGTTTCCAGGATGAAAGTATTGTATTGGGTGGCTCTGGTTCCCTGGGAGTTTGTATGTACAGTGTATCTTGTAAATGCAAATATAAAACAATAAAACATAACATAAAAAGAAAGCCCCAACATCCAATAAAGCAGAAACAATAAGACACTGCATCATCACCAGTATAAACACCTTGACTTCCCCCAGAGGTGTACACATGATGGTGGCCACGCCCGGCCGACTCATGGACATGCTGAACAAGAAGGCCTTCAACCTGGACACCTGTCGCTACCTGGTGCTGGACGAGGCTGACAGGATGATCGACATGGGCTTCGAGGAGGACATCAGGACCATCTTCTCTTACTTCAAGGTCAGTCACAGCTAGAGGTCACAACTTGTTTAACAACAGCCAGCGTTTCGATGACTGCCTGTCATCTTTATCAGGGCAATTATGACTGGTGCACTGAAGTTACTTATACTAGGTATTACTGGTTCATTTTGCACTGAAGCTAGATGTTACTGCTAACTTCTGGATGTAAAGTATTTGAGTGCACAGTGATCAGACAAGGGGTTCATTGGTGTCTGCTACGTGGGCACAGTTTTGCCCAGATGTGCTGTGCAAAAAGTATTCATCTATCTTGCTTCTAAACCATCTATCTTGCTTCTGCTTTCTCTGAGACTTATGTATTTGCAGAAAATATTTCCGAATTGCAGAACAAAATTTTTTACATTCTGCTATAGTTCAAAACACACAAAAAAAATTTCTACCCTTGATTGCTGATAATAATTGTACATCTTCTGTTCTCCAGGGCCAGAGACAAACCCTGCTGTTCAGTGCCACCATGCCCAAGAAGATCCAGAACTTTGCCCGCACGGCGCTGGTGAAGCCGGTGACGGTGAACGTTGGTCGGGCGGGTGCAGCGAGTCTGGACGTGATCCAGGAGGTGGAGTACGTCAAACAGGAGGCCAAGATCGTTTACCTGCTGGAGTGTCTACAGAAAACTGCTCCTCCGGTTAGTCTCTTTTTTTCTAATGAAGATTTATCACGTTTGTAGGAGGAACTGAGAAGTCCAGAGGTGTGCAGATAGACTGCTGGGACTGAACTGCCAAGGAGAGAGAGAAGAGAGAATGATTGACCTAACAGTTGGCAACAGTAATCACCTTGTCAAAGTGTCAACCCTGATACCAGACTGTGAGGTTTGAACCTCTTACACCAGGAAGGATCCATGCTCTTTTGATAATTGTGGTGGGATCTTCAACATGCTCAGGGTGTGGCTCTCCTTAAAATGGTACCTCTGGCTAAACGTCCTATCCAAGAACTCATTCTTACCCGAAGCTCATTTTTACCCGAGTCAAGGAAGGAAATAGGTGTGAAGTGCCTCTCCCAAGGACACAACAGTGGGGCCTGCCAGGGATTCTAACCCAGAACCTTTGGATCCTGAGTCAACAACCCTAACCCCCTTGCCACTGTTTCAGGTGTTGATCTTTGCGGAGAAGAAGGCAGATGTTGATGACATCCATGAGTACCTGCTACTGAAGGGTGTGGAGGCTGTGGCCATCCATGGAGGAAAAGGTCAGGTTCTTCTCCTATATTTGGAATTCATAGTACATAGGTCATTTCATGCTTCTAGTTGAAATACTTTTTTTTGCATACCTGCACTGGTGCAGGTGACTATGATATTTACCTGCACCAGCCAATTTTACCTGCACCAGCCAATTTTACCTGCACTAGGAAGTATGGCTCATACTAAGGACTATTGCCAGAAGCTGAATGGAAGGTTGTGTGTGCAAAGAAGACAAAAGTATGGAGAGACAGTTGGGGGGAGATAGTTTTGCAAAAGGGGTCATCCCCTGATCTGTTGAAGGGGAGTACCTTGGGCTCTTTCTGTCTCAGGAGACAGTCTGAAGCTTCTGAAGAAGAGGAGTCCTTCTTATTAAAACAGTAGTTATGCGAGGTAAATACCAGGATACATAAAGTTTTCTCTTTTTTTTTCAGACCAAGAAGAGAGAACTCGTGCCATTGAGGCTTTCCGGGAGGGAAAGAAAGATGTTCTTGTGGCGACAGACGTGGCGTCCAAGGGGCTGGATTTCCCCGACATCCAACATGTCATCAACTTTGACATGCCAGAGGACATCGAGAACTACGTCCACAGGTAGGCATGTGCAGAAGAGCCATCTAGAGACAATGTGTAAAACTGCACTACAAGTGCCACAGAAACTGTTTGCCATACAAGAACTGCTCATGTAAACTTTTTCCGCATGCGCTACACTTAACCACACATAAAGAACATACAATGCAATCTTGTAGAATGACTGAACTACAAATATCAGGCGTGTATGATAGTTTTAGGAAAATACAAGTTTGAGCAACTAAATTGTTGGATAATAAATCCAGTACTTCAAGGCATAACTACATCTTGTTCTGTTCTGAGCTTGTATTAGATACCTAGTAGCTGGTATGTCCATCATTTATCAGTTGTACTGTTCCAAGTATGTGATGAAGTGGTGTTGTATGTTTGTGTTGTCCAGGATTGGTCGTACAGGCCGGTGTGGGAAGACGGGCATCGCGACGACCTTCATCAACAAGGCGTGTGACGAGTCTGTCCTGCTGGACCTGAAACACCTGCTGCTGGAGGCCAAGCAGAAGATCCCGCCCGTCCTGGAGACACTCGAGTCAGAGAGCGAGAAGTACCTGGAGCTACGGGGTACGTGTTGGTGTAGCCATGACCGTGCTTTATCCAGAACCATCCTTTATCCAGCACCATGCTTTACCCAGAACCATGCTCAGGCACAGTCCTGGATGGTCCCTACATATCCAGAACTGTGTCTGTTGGCAAATCTACGTTCTTGGATAGGCAGAGATTATCCAGTTGATTATCCGTGGCTGATCCTAGCCCTAAACCCATTCAGGAATAGAATGAGATAGGAACAGTTCTGGATACAGTATGTGTCTTCTCTTCAAAAGTTTAGAATGGGTTGAATTCCGAATGGCTGAGTTGCTGAGATCGAGGGGTGAAGGGTTTGATTCCTGGCTAGTTGTTGTGTTTACATGTTTTTTGCGTTAAATGGCAGAGTGGCTTAGGAAAGCAGACACAAAATCGAGTGGTCAAGGGTTTGGTTCCTAGTATTCCTGGCTAGATGTTGTGTCCATGTCTTCTGCTCGCAAGTTATAATGCGTCAAATGGGAGAATGGCTAAGGAAAATTCCCCAAGCTCATTTTTACAAGTACAATGGAAAGTGGACCACAGCTTAACATCCTGTCCTAAGGACTAAGCCTTTTCAGTAGCATACATGCCGGATGAGCAATAACAGCCGGGATTCAAAATCCCAACCTCCTGGTCAATAGGCATTGCCACTAACCACCTGACTACACACGGTGAGTGTACATGTACAATGCATGTCCTTACTTTCCAAAGCATTGACATTCTTGGTTTTTCCACATCACTAGGGGAGAGAGGCTGTGCGTACTGTGGAGGTTTGGGCCATCGTATCACCGACTGCCCCAAGCTGGAAGCCATGCAGAACAAGCAGGCCAGCAACATTGGGCGCAGGGACTACCTGGCACACAACGCAGCAGACTACTGAGGCTACTGTGTACATTATTATGTCACCTGGGTTAAACATTTCTTGACAACAATAGCCAGGGCTCGAAATACCACCTGTATATGTAGGTTAGTGCAGGTGAAATTGGAGCTGTGCAGGTATTTCTGATGTCTACCTGCACCTACCCTGCACTGGTCCATGTACTGGGTGTATGCAGGTTAGTGCAGGTAAAATTGGAGCTGTGCAGGTATTTCTGATGTCTACCTGCACATAACTTACAGTGGTCCATGTACATGTACTGGGTATATACATTTATGTACATGTAGGTGTATGTGTATATATGCATTGACTAGCTGTTACCATCCAAGGAGTATAAAAGAAGTAATGGCAATGGTTTCTGAACAGTTTTAGTATGATCCATACTTCCTACGTTTTTAATTCTGCAAGTGAATTTTGTCTTGTGCAGATAATTTTCAATGTAACCTGCAACAGTGCAGGTATTTCGATCCCAGGGTCCTGTAAGAATTGGAAGGAAATACATTTGTATACATGTACATGTAGGTGACAAAGCTTTTGTCTTAGTTGTGAAATAGATCAATCTTTCAAGGCATTTATTAGTTAATGTTCTTGATATCAGCTATGTTGAAGAGGCTGAAGTAAACCATGGTAAAGTGAATGGAATTGTCACAATTCATGAACATGTGTAACGTGATATTAGATACACCTGATGTGCAAAAACTACATTGTTTGGAAATAAACATACATGTATATTCAAAATAGTGTGTTGTCAATTTGAGAAGATTCTAAACATTTCTTACTCCTTAGTTGTTACAGTATGTGGCTATATGTGCACAGTAGAATGATGCATTTTAATAAAGGGTTTCAATGAAAACCCAAAACAACTATGTTGCCATTCCACTTGCTTCCGATAGGGGGCGTCACAGACATGCAGACCAAGACTCTCAGGTACCATAGGGCTTCGATACCACTGCATGTAGTTACCTTGTCAGATTGCCTCATGTATAAATTGAACCCCTTCAAATCACCATAGTAAAGGATAACCCCTAACAGAAATACACTGATATTTACTCGAATTTGAGAGTTTTCCTTCTCAGTTCTATTTCCCACTTGTAATGCTTCCTTCCCTTGACTTCACAACCCATCCACATACACTACAAAGATTCATTCACCCAATACCCCTAATTTCAAGGCATCTAATGCAATTTCAAGGAGGCAAACTGGACTTTTCTTTTTCTGGTCATTCTTTTCATGTACAAGTTGACTCAATCCTATCCCATAGCATACTGATAAATGGTTGCTTGAGATGGTAGTAAATGTCAGTATCACAAAGATTTCCTCATCCGGAATACTTTTTGTTTCACCACCTTGAAATTGCGTAGGCCTGCCTTTATTATTTCGTTCAGTGCCCTTGATCCACAAGATAATCCCCTTCTATTTCCTAATTTCATACAACCAAGCACACCAACAAAACAACATACAGCAGCCATATATTTTATGTTCATACAAAAGTGATTTTAATTTTCTCTTCACATTGCCATACATATTCTTATCTGTGGTATTTCTCAGCACCACAGCTACAAGTAGTCACTTATTACACACACTGACATTTTGTCTGCACAGCCTATGTACATATAAGCACTCTCATATCACAGGAGGAAGGGCATTTACTTTGACTGACAGCTGTCAATATCCATACTTCTACAATGTGTTCCAGTCTTTGATTAATATGTAACAAAAATAGCATTGAAAACATTTCCCCAGGAAAGAGAAAAAGTGTATCTCTGGTCGTCTATTTGTGAGAGTTTTGCTAATGTTTTTATATTGCAATTTGTCCATGTACTTGCCCTCTTACAAAACTTGAAAAGCCGTACTGTATTAGAAATTTCCAATACACAATACAACTGTAGTATAATGTTGTAGTATACAGGGAAAATATTACAATCTGGCTGGAATAGTTACAAAAGGATGGTTCACTGCTGTCTTTCACAGAAAGGCAGACAATATACATGTAGTCATCTTCCATCCTTTTTTAACAGAAATACAAAAGAAATCCACATTTCGCTAATTCAAAAGTGGTTGTATAAAAGAGAAGTCTTTCAATCAAATATAAAATATCATTATCTAAAATGCATGTAAAACTCTAATAATTATAATGAACAACTTGATGTGATAATGGCAGCTGTCAGTCATAGAATATCCCTTCTCCAATAATGTTCAATATACATCTAATCATAGATGGTTTATGTCATCTTTAAATATAAGCTCTATACAGCTAAACACAACTCTTCTCTACACAAGTCATTTGTAACATAGAAAAAAATTACATTGCAGAAATTACATGGTGGTGCTTGAGTTTTTTTCCTAAGCATCCAATCTTTGGCATCAGACTACACCGGCATTTTTTCACGATGTATATATATAAATTTTTTTAACCACTCTGGTGCAAAAACAAAACATTGTTGATGTACACATTGTAATCACGAATCCAATATTTTACAGGTATGCCCTCTGATGTGGCTTTGCTTTAAAGTGTTGTTTATTGGCTTATGATATTGTATTCATATTGGTGATAACTATTGTACCTTCTATAAGAAGGGCATAGAGAAGAATTCACAGAGTAAAATACAAGTTGGCAGTGTTGGCACTTGACATAACAAACTTAACAGAATGAGAAGTACAAAATTCAACAGAACTGGAACCAGGTGAACATTTTGATACAAACAGAACTTGTCCCCCCACCAAATTGTGTTGCAAAAACTTTTATCCCAACAATGCAGAACTGAACTTGTTCAAATAGCCAACTTGAACTGTTATATGACATTTATATCGTTGTAAAAAAAAAGATTTTTTAAAAAAGGTAGAGGTATAACAGTTGAGATCTAAATGTACAGAGGTAACAAAAAAAGTTATTTTTTCTGCAGTGATCGGGCATCACAACCAATTATTTACAAAGCACATTCTGACAGTAGGATCGGGAGAAAACCATTATTTTACATCCTTTTACGTCTTCACGGACACGACACTCCTCGTGACGGAGGGTTGGGGTGGGACTACGCTGCCTGGAATGTCACCTGACAAACTCCGATTGTGTAAGGAAGTAACCGTCCAAATGCCACCAGGGTCAAGTTTGAGGCAAACCATCTGTTTGTGGGGAGGGGGGGTACTTCTAAACATTACCAAGGGGTGGTTTTAAGAATTGTACTGATTAAAAAGGAGGGGGTATATGAGAATTTGAATCCAAGGGAATGGCGAGGGAATGGTAATTAAAAGAAAAAGAGGGGTAACCATTTTACCCCGACCCCTTCTCTTAAAATGGATCAGTCTATATCATGTCACCGTCCACTACTTTGTAAGAAGACAAATGATTGGAGGAACCAGACATACACTGATGGTACGAGGCAAGTGATTGGACGAACCTGACATACTGATGGCATTTGGTTACTCTTTACAACTGTTGCTCTCTTTCATTTTGGCATCGACTTGTAACAAAATAGGTTATACTTTATTCTCAGACCATCCATTTCTTTTTATCATTTTTATAACTTATTTACAAATATACAGATAATATACAAAAATTTTCATGATTGTGCATGCAAAAAACTTCCGAGCTGTGAAATCATGTGTCTAGGGCTGGCTGTGACTGGCACCTGTCATTCATACAACTAATCATTGTGCTCAATTTGATACTTAATTCTACACATCACAAATATATCATTTCCATTAAATACTCTCCAAATCTTTTTTCATAGACTCTTTTAGTACGTATACTGACATAGAAACAAATACTACACAGACTTAGCACCAGGCACTATTTGGCAAAAAAAACGAAAAGCAATGACGTTGTAAGAGAAATAACACCTCACAACGGACAAGTGCTCGTCCCAGCCAGCTCTATAGACACATCTGACGACAAGAGGAAGATTTTTTCGTATAAATAAAGAAGGACGAAGAATTAAGGGCTAACACTGGTAATGGATGTGTTGGTGCTGGTAGACCTTACTGACTCCCTCCGTGTGTGTGTGCGTGTGTGTGTGAAGGTCCACGTATCTGTTCATGTACTTTTCTCTGGTGGACGTGCTGTTGGAGCTAAGCGTGCCCGTGGGGCTCGCTGCGGGACTCAGAAGTCCCGACGGCGGGTGCATCCCGGACGAAAGCGACCCTGACGAGTCCTTGTCCCGCTGTAGCGACATGACGGTGGTGCCGTGCGACGCGGCGTCGTGCTGCGGGACGTACTGACGGGTCGGCGTCCGGACACTGGCCGGGGGAGACGGGCACCGCTTCCGCTGCTGGCAGAACCACACGCCGCCGATCACAAGGATCAGGCCGAGCGCCGCGGGGAGACCGATCACCACCACCAGCGGCACCTTGCTGCTCAGCGAACTCCTGCTCATCACGGACTGTGTCGTTATGGAGGGGTCATCCACCTTGTCAGGATCTGCAACGAGCACAATGCAATTTAATTACCTTCTAAAACTAAAATTACTAAACATGACAATTAACAATTGACAATTGACATAGTCTGGTGTTACTGTAAGTAGAATATTCCTCAGTGACAATTTGAAAAGGTAAAATGTCAGGTATCACAGTATTGATTGCTTTGTCCTTGTTGCCCTACCTAGTACTTTGTACACATGTGGAGCAATACAGTTTATTCATTCATAGTCAAGGGAAAAGCTCACAATTCTCTAGTATTGATCCAAAGTTCAGGTTATGGTTACAGAGCGGTCTGACTAAAGCATTATGCTCACTACCTCAGTCTAAATGGATGCTGCTTCACTTCTTTTTTACCTTCTGCTTTTCGATAGTATACAAAGACGTGCTGGTTCTTACCAGGTTTGACTGTCAGGAAAGCGGCCTTGTAGCTGTATCCCATGGTGTTGGCCCCCAGGCAGATGTACATGCCCGAGTCCTCCTCCTTCGCCTTACTGATCATGAGTTTGTTCAAGTAGGACCCGTCGGGGCGGGACCACACCTCCCCGGTGGGCAGCACGATGAACTTGACCCCTCCGACGTCGATGGTGGTGTTGGGGTGCTTGTGCAGCTCGTGCTCCTCCACGCGCTTCAGCCACTGGATGTGCGGCTTGACGCCGCTGCGGACCCGGCACTGGAAGGAGGCGGTGGTGCCGAACTCCACCGTCGTGTTGACCGGGTGGACGCCGGTCAGCTGTGGCTTCGTCGTCATGCGAGCTGAGTGGGAGGAGATGCGAAAAATGGTTACTCTCTACTGTTTTCCTAAAAAAAAAAAAAGGATCTCTACAACTTCCAACAGGTCCCATTGACAATGTAAAAAAAATCAGAGCGGTTTGATTTGTTTTGGCTTCAACCAGAACTGAAATGGTTTGCATTTTGCATTCATTATACAAACTTGCACCCACGACCAAAGCAGTTTACATTGTCAAGCTTTTGTACTTCAGGAAAATGACGAGCAGCCCAAATACAGGCTCAGCTGTGAAGAGGCCAGATTGGAGACGTGACCGCAGCCATTGTAGGGCATACAGAATAAAGGAAGACCATGGCTGCTACAACTTACCTATGACGTCGACCTTGTACGTGGCGTTGATGCTGCCGATCCTGTTGAACACCTTGCAGGTGTAGCGACCGCTGTCCCTCGGCCTCAGGTTACGCAGCTTAAGGGTCCAACGCTGACCCTTTTTTGCCCCACCTGCGATACAAGCGATAAAAAAAAACAGGGCTTGAAATCCATTTTTCTGCATGCCTGACCAGTGCAGGTTGCATTCTAAATTATCTGTATCAGATAATTTTTACCTGGATCACTCAGAATTTACAAAGTATGGATCACACTGTTCAGAAACCATTGCCATTATTTCTTTAACACACTTCATACATGAACAGTTCAATGCAAATGCAGACATCAGAAATACCTTCACAGCTTCAATTTTACTTGCACTGAGGTGAATATGCACCCAACATTTTGAGTCCTGTCTACATGTTGTTTGATGTAAAGCACTGGACAGTAACTTCAGCATGCTTTACCAAGCAGAAAGTCTTTCAGTGATAAACTGCTCGTACCTAAATCCTCATCGGTGAGCGTTCTCCCATCCTTCGACCAGATGATCTCCGGCTTGGGCTGCCCGCTCGCAGAGCACTTCAACCGGACTGAACTGCCCATGGGTCTCTGGATGATCTTTCTCCTCATCTTCTGTGGCTGTGTGAATCTGGGCTTGGCTGTTGATCAGAGGCAAGAAAGGGTTTAATTAAACCTTGTTGTATTGAAAATGCTGCATGTTCTCCTGTATCAGGATTGTGTTTCGTAACAAAATCAGAACTACAGGGGTAACCCTTTTTCTCTTTTTACACTTGCTTAGAAAGAGAGATTGTGTACCATCTTCTATCAATCCTATTTCATGATTCCAAATCAAATTTCAAGTAAGAAAATATCAGAGACCATAGAGCCCGATATCAGCCCTTGCTGCCTGGGTAGTCCACTGTATTACAATGTTGTAATTCCAATAAAATAAATAAATATATACAATAATAAATAAAATATCAGAGAGTACTCACTTCCACCGACACCAGGTGCTGTACCAACAGGTCTGCCAGGATTGGAGTCATCTAAGAGAAAAAAAAGAGACACAATTAAATCATCTGAAGATATCACACCTCTACATTTGTACACCTGCACCTGAACAGAAAATTTTAAAAAGCTGACATGTGACATACATGTAGATGTGGACTCTTGTAACTATCCTCCAAAACACATCCCCTCCTATGATGGCTTTAAAATAGCAACTTTGTATATATTTGTGTAAGAGGTTGCTTAGGTAGTAACCTTTAAAAAAGGCACTAAAAACCTTCTGTTTCTAAGTAAGGAGCTCGAATCCCCGGGGATCCCTCCCCCCTTGTACCCTCTCAGGGACTTCTGAAACTCAATGTATACTTCAAAGGGTTCTCCCACCCCTATGAAAACATTATGAGAGTCCTGGGAGCAGCCTGGCATGTGGTAACACTTTCACAGGAACAGACTGAAGATCTCACTTTCTGACTAGGTTAATGACTTCCTCAGGTGTTGTGGGGGGACCCAGTGGCCCAGTACATGTTCTCTCTGAACCAAAGTTCCCAATAGACCAGCGTTTTGCCATCTTAGGATGCGATGTCCTTTTATTTTGTGGTAGGCAGTCCTCAACTGTGTTTCAAAACTTGCCACAAAACTTTCAAGTTGCATGAAAATGATGTCTTGGTGTGTGTTTCCATAAGTTGGGGTTGTAATTTTACAACTCAAAATGCAACAAGTATCTTTTCAGAGAGTTAGTTCAGAATTTCCTACGGCCTGCTGTAAGAAATACTGCTCTGAACAGCATTAACTCTTCACTGGAAGTAAAGCCAGAAACTGTCATTGTCTGACATGCTATCTCCGGTTTGGGTGAAGTGTCAAGAGTTTCGTTTTTTTTCTAAGCCAAGGTGATCGCTTCACTGTCACAATCCAACTTTGTTCTCTTCACACACGACAGAAGCTATCTACTAGATCTAAACAGTGAGCACCTTCTCTTGGCTGTATATTGTAGCAGGGATTTTGTGCTTTAAAAAATAAAGATAACTTCCGAGGCCTGTATTTTGTTCCAAGTTGCTGATGTCTACCTGTATAGCCACAGTTTATAGGCGTACGTCAGGTTTATAAACCCGAAGGTTTGGACGTTTTGATCACTCCGCGGTCGGACAAACGGCGAGACTAAACTTCTTGGCTTTTGGAGGCTGTTGCTTACACGGCGGTACCCAGGTGATCCTGACATATACAATCCTCCCTGTCTCGTCATAACAACCCAGGGACGGCTTCCGACTTTTCGGGAGAAACAAATTGTCAAAGACGGCTCCGGCTTACCGCAAGGTAAACATCCACGATTCGGTATAGCAAGGACGCGGCGATTTTCCCGCCAAACGGACTAACGTACCTTAAAACGGTACAGCGGGGCTCTTATCTCTTGGTTTATCTTTCGGAGGGATGTTCTCTCCCTTAAGTAATTTGCACAGTTCAAACAAAGTCAAGTACGATGTAACAGGATTTCCTGGAGGAAGGCGTCCCAAGATCTTGAACTTACTCCAACTTAAGGCTCCGCCCACCGGCCTGTAACACTTAAGGTCTCCTGCCCATCTCGCCTTAAGGGCTTCCAGACCTCTCCTGACAGCTGTAAGCTGTTTATCAGAGGGTTCTTACAGTTAAGTCTCTCATTTTCTGCATCAGTTTCAAAAACAATTGCCCTGAGGCTCTTAGCCACAACCCCTGCCCCCGCCTGGCTCCAGCTAAAGATTTCATTAACTCTTGCTTTTCAACACATGGTTACTTTCGCAGACAGGGACTGGGGAGGGAGAGACACTGCCAGTCTTCAATTAACCCTGTCATCTGCCATCCTCTCAAGCCTTTAAGTCCCCGCCTGGAGCTGAGGAATGTCTCTTCTACATTTCCTCATGACGCTATAACTCTAAGCTATTCATTAGGGTCGGTACTGAAGAGGTAATCTGGCCGTGTTTGGGACAGATTTGTGTAGGGGTTTGTACTCTTGCCGTAAAACTGGCGACATTTATAACTCGCTAAGCCGGCGACTGCTTTACGACTTGTGTAAGCCTGGGGGTTGGGAAAGCAAATTGTGCCTGTCTGGGCAGAATGGTGAGAATTTCCCCCCTCTAAAGTCAGGGTGGAGAGATTTATCTTCGCATTTCAACACTGCCTACCCTTGAGGAAATGTAGCCCTGCCTGTTTCCTTTTGGCCCATGAGCCTAACTCAATGACTTTCTCATATGGGAAAGGCCAGAGCTAGGCGCGCCAGATGTATATTTGAGCATGATTATGTGGGATGTCAAGTATTTGTTTTCAATGCCTCAGTGCCCATATTTTTATGCTTGCTGTGTGTTTGGTGCAGGTGCGTCCTGGTCTGGTTTGTGTGCTCTGGGAGGAGGAACAGACACGAACTGGGACTTGGGTTTCACGACAGGCGATCTCTCGGGTCTTCACTACCCACAGCTGACATCACAACTGGTGTGATAGAACTGCAGGATTTTCTGATAACACAGCAAACCGCGCTACAAAACATTTTATTTTGATTTCGCACATAACTAGTGAGTTTTCAGTTTTTTTTCATGTTCTCTAATAGTAGATTAAATTTTTACAATCTTCATAAGTCAGCCAAATTTTAATAGACCAAAAGGTAACAAAAAGTCTTGTTCCCTTCTATATGAAATACAGTGTGACAGCCATATGTTTGCTAATCAGAGCTTGCATAAATGACATCCGTGCCTGAGCCAACGTCAACACCACAGTCCATACCAAACACACCTGCCCAATGGTGATGTGTTCTATACGGCCATACCGAGTCTCTCACTCATCGAGTTATTATGAAAGGATTGGTTCGACTTTGCCGCTAATTTACGGCCACCCAAGTTCAACTGAATAAGCAAAACACTGCTGTAATAAAAACATCAGATGTTCTTCTGATCTTTTTTATCAACCAATCATTGTCTGCTTTTCCTACATGTATATCTACCCGAACAAAAACAGGGTCTTTTTGCTGCGAATTTCACACACTGCCCGACGAAGAAAGCCTTGGTTGGATAAGCTTTCTTAAAAAGCCATGCATGCACAACAAGTTTACAGTCAACCTCGTACAAAAGCTGAAGGGCAGCACTTCACCACACCTGCCCCGCTTTGTTCGCGGGGAAAGAAAGCGTGCGGGGCAGCCCGACCCAAACCTCATCTCAAACAGAAAATTCTGAGCGAGCCTTTGAGTCTCCACACTCGAGGCACCACTCCAGAATGTATTGGGTCCACACATGTGGAGCTGAGCAAATAAATTGGTCGGTCCTGCCGCCCAACACTGCGTAAGGGGTTAGCGAGTTCACCACCGCAACGTTGTAGTAACTACACTCCAGTTTTCTTGTATTCTTCTCATGTTGATCCCTGTCTGGACCTTTTCCTCGACAAAGAAAATTATTTGCCGAGGAGACCTTGTTCACAGGTGCTGGAGAACAACGTTGAGAAGAAACTGTTAACCAGGGTCGCCTTGGGCGGCTCAGTCAGGATCCCCTAGGTGGGCATGGAAGTTGCCTGATAACTTGCGATTAGCCAAAAATACTGATGATTTCATTGTTGCTTTTCAAACAGTGGACTGTCAGTTCCCTGCTAGTTTCTTAAAGTAAGAACTCAAGAGATAGAGATCCACCAGCTACACAAATCCATGGTAAAAAAATAAAACACTTGTGTGAGAGTAAAATGTGAAGAAGAAGAAGAATTTTTCAGGGTCATGGACCGTCCGATGCTTGGTCGACCATTTTGGGCGATGCACCGCGGGAGTACTGTAAACAAACCGCTGCCAATTCGCTGACAAATCCGCACCTCCGCCATACAAGTTCAAGTTATCCGCCAAACACAAAATTTCACACTCCGACGCCACCAGTCACTCCATTCCAAGGTTAGGATGCTATAATCTCATTTTTTTCCAGGCTGTATTGAAGGGTAACCGCTTGGAAATGATGGTATGCAATGTAACCACATCATATGGCGAAAATTAAGGCTTTCTCACACAATCGCTGATATCGCTGATGACTGGAAAACTGGGTTTGACTCTGACTTTGTATTTCAACCTCCTAATGACTCTGAATTTTAACTTAATTATATGCAATACTATAAACTCTTGATTTTGAAATAATGAAATGTACATTGATTCACAATTCAGTAACTTGTATTAAGTTTACTGCCATTGATCAATAGATAATTCTTGAGTCTTGAGTCTTGGTTCACCTACTGAACACCTTTGCAGGCCACGCAGTTAATCATGTGACTGTGACGGGACATGGTACATTTTACCCACATTCTACCAGCTGATGCCCCAGGCCATATCGGCCTCATTTTTCACAACAAACAGGCACTGCATACCTGAAATAAGAACACTGTGCCCCGCTTGTTTTCCTTTCATGTTAGATTCAACCCTTGCTTTAGGCATATTTTCCCTTTTTTTTTACACAAAACCGAGACCGGTATACACAAATCATATAGTCACATTTTCTATGTATTGAGTGCTTTACTGTGCATGACTCCATAAGCTAACCATGTGAATAATGTTCTACCAACAAAAAGACTGGGGCATCAGCTGCCCCACTTGTTTTCCTTTCATGTTAGATTCAACCCTTCAGGCATTTTCCCTTTTTTTAAAACACAAAACCGAGACTGGTATACACAAATCATACGGTCACATTTTCTTAGTGATGAGTGATTTACTGCGAATGACTTCTCCATAAGCTAGCCATGTGAATAATGTTCTAACAATAAAAAACTGACATTGTTAAAAAATGTTTCGCGTCAACTACACACACGTTATGACTTCTTGGTATGGAGAAACCATACTCATTCATCAACGGCCAATTATTAACGAGCCCAGGTGTGAGACCCAAATGAGTGCTAATTACCTTTCCATGCCCCAGTGGGCAGTTAATTTGGGGGGAGGGGCCAACCCCCCAGTGGTGTGGACAACAGCACTTGATATGCATGTGCCACCATACAAATGTTAATCTGCTCCAAGTCAGGACTACTTTCATGCCAAATTAGGCAGGGGATTTGCAACGGATTT